ACTAGTCTATCAAACGTAGGTCTAACCTAAATTCCCAACATGTACTAGTCTATCAAATGTAGGTCTAACCCTAAATGCCCAACATGTACTAGTCTATAAATGTAGGTCTAACCTAAATTCCCAACATGTACTAGTCTATAAAATGTAGGTCTAAACCTAAATTCCCAACATGTACTAGTCTATAAATGTAGGTCTAACCCTAAATTCCCAACATGTACTAGTCTATAAATGTAGGTCTAACCTAAATTCCCAACATGTACTAGTCTATCAAATGTAGGTCTAACCCTAAATTCCCAACATGTACTAGTCTATCAAATGTAGGTCTAAACCTAAATTCCCAACATGTACTAGTCTATAAAATGTAGGTCTAACCCTAAATTCCCAACATGTACTAGTCTATCAAATGTAGGTCTAACCCTAAATTCCCAACATGTACTAGTCTATAAATGTAAGTCTAAACCTAAATTCCCAACATGTACTAGTCTATAAATGTAGGTCTAACCCTAAATTCCCAACATGTACTAGTCTATAAATGTAAGTCTAACCCTAAATTCCCAACATGTACTAGTCTATCAAATGTAGGTCTAACCCTAAATTCCCAACATGTACTAGTCTATAAATGTAAGTCTAACCCTAAATGCCCAACATGTACTAGTCTATAAATGTAGGTCTAACCCTAAATTCCCAACATGTACTAGTCTATCAAATGTAAGTCTAACCCTAAATTCCCAACATGTACTAGTCTATCAAATGTAAGTCTAACCCTAAATTCCCAACATGTACTAGTCTATCAAATGTAGGTCTAAACCTAAATTCCCAACATGTACTAGTCTATCAAATGTAGGTCTAACCCTAAATTCCCAACATGTACTAGTCTATCAAATGTAAGTCTAACCCTTAATGCCCAACATGTACTAGTCTATCAAATGTAGGTCTAACCCTAAATTCCCAACATGTACTAGTCTATCAAATGTAGGTCTAACCCTAAATGCCCAACATGTACTAGTCTATAAATGTAGGTCTAACCCTAAATTCCCAACATGTACTAGTCTATCAAACGTAGGTCTAAACCTAAATTCCCAACATGTACTAGTCTATAAAATGTAGGTCTAACCCTAAATGCCCAACATGTACTAGTCTATAAATGTAGGTCTAACCTAAATTCCCAACATGTACTAGTCTATAAAATGTAGGTCTAAACCTAAATTCCCAACATGTACTAGTCTATAAATGTAGGTCTAACCCTAAATGCCCAACATGTACTAGTCTATAAATGTAGGTCTAACCCTAAATTCCCAACATGTACTAGTCTATCAAATGTAAGTCTAACCCTAAATTCCCAACATGTACTAGTCTATCAAATGTAGGTCTAACCTTAAATTCCCAACATGTACTAGTCTATCAAATGTAGGTCTAAACCTAAATTCCCAACATGTACTAGTCTATCAAATGTAGGTCTAACCCTAAATTCCCAACATGTACTAGTCTATCAAATGTAAGTCTAACCCTAAATGCCCAACATGTACTAGTCTATCAAATGTAGGTCTAACCCTAAATTCCCAACATGTACTAGTCTATCAAATGTAGGTCTAACCCTAAATGCCCAACATGTACTAGTCTATAAATGTAGGTCTAACCCTAAATTCCCAACATGTACTAGTCTATCAAACGTAGGTCTAAACCTAATTTCCCAACATGTACTAGTCTATCAAATGTAGGTCTAACCCTAAATGCCCAACATGTACTAGTCTATAAATGTAGGTCTAACCTAAATTCCCAACATGTACTAGTCTATAAAATGTAGGTCTAAACCTAAATTCCCAACATGTACTAGTCTATAAATGTAGGTCTAACCCTAAATTTCCAACATGTACTAGTCTATAAATGTTGGTCTAACCTAAATTCCCAACATGTACTAGTCTATCAAATGTAGGTCTAACCCTAAATTCCCAACATGTACTAGTCTATAAAATGTAGGTCTAAACCTAAATTCCCAACATGTACTAGTCTATAAAATGTAGGTCTAACCCTAAATTCCCAACATGTACTAGTCTATCAAATGTAGGTCTAACCCTAAATTCCCAACATGTACTAGTCTATCAAATGTAGGTCTAACCCTAAATTCCCAACATGTACTAGTCTATAAATGTAGGTCTAACCCTAAATTCCCAACATGTACTAGTCTATAAATGTAGGTCTAACCCTAAATTCCCAACATGTACTAGTCTATAAAATGTAGGTCTAACCCTAAATTCCCAACATGTACTAGTCTATAAATGTAGGTCTAACTTAAATTCCCAACATGTACTAGTCTATCAAATGTAGGTCTAACCCTAAATTCCCAACATGTACTAGTCTATAAAATGTAAGTCTAACCCTAAATTCCCAACATGTACTAGTCTATAAAATGTAGGTCTAACCCTAAATTCCCAACATGTACTAGTCTATCAAATGTAGGTCTAACCCTAAATTCCCAACATGTACTAGTCTATCAAATGTAGGTCTAACCCTAAATTCCCAACATGTACTAGTCTATAAATGTAGGTCTAACCCTAAATTCCCAACATGTACTAGTCTATAAATGTAGGTCTAACCCTAAATTCCCAACATGTACTAGTCTATAAAATGTAGGTCTAACCCTAAATTCCCAACATGTACTAGTCTATAAATGTAGGTCTAACTTAAATTCCCAACATGTACTAGTCTATCAAATGTAGGTCTAACCCTAAATTCCCAACATGTACTAGTCTATAAAATGTAAGTCTAACCCTAAATTCCCAACATGTACTAGTCTATAAAATGTAGGTCTAACCCTAAATTCCCAACATGTACTAGTCTATCAAATGTAGGTCTAAACCTAAATTCCCAACATGTACTAGTCTATAAAATGTAGGTCTAACCCTAAATTCCCAACATGTACTAGTCTATCAAATGTAGGTCTAAACCTAAATTCCCAACATGTACAAGTCTATAAAATGTAGGTCTAACCCTAAATTCCCAACATGTACTAGTCTATAAATGTAGGTCTAAACCTAAATTCCCAACATGTACTAGTCTATAAAATGTAGGTCTAACCCTAAATTCCCAACATGTACTAGTCTATAGCCTAAATGTAGGTCTAACCCTAAATTCCCAACATGTACTAGTCTATAAATGTAGGTCTAAACCTAAATTCCCAACATGTACTAGTCTATAAAATGTAAGTCTAACCCTAAATTCCCAACATGTACTAGTCTATCAAATGTAGGTCTAAACCTAAATTCCCAACATGTACTAGTCTATAAGTGTAGGTCTAAACCTAAATTCCCAACATGTACTAGTCTATAAAATGTAGGTCTAACCCTAAATTCCCAACATGTACTAGTCTATCAAATGTAGGTCTAAACCTAAATTCCCAACATGTACTAGTCTATAAAATGTAGGTCTAACCCTAAATTCCCAACATGTACAAGTCTATCAAATGTAGGTCTAAACCTAAATTCCCAACATGTACTAGTCTATAAAATGTAGGTCTAAACCTAAATTCCCAACATGTACTAGTCTATAAATGTAGGTCTAAACCTAAATTCCCAACATGTACTAGTCTATAAAATGTAAGTCTAACCCTAAATTCCCAACATGTACTAGTCTATAAATGTAGGTCTAAACCTAAATTCCCAACATGTACTAGTCTATAAAATTTAGGTCTAACCCTAAATTCCCAACATGTACTAGTCTATCAAATGTAAGTCTAACCCTTAATTCCCAACATGTACTAGTCTATCAAATGTAAGTCTAACCCTAAATTCCCAACATGTACTAGTCTATAAATGTAGGTCTAAACCTAAATTCCCAACATGTACTAGTCTATAAATGTAGGTCTAACCATAAATTCCCAACATGTACTAGTCTATAAATGTAGGTCTAAACCTAAATTCCCATCATGTACTAGTCTATAAATGTAGGTCTAACCCTAAATTCCCAACATGTACTAGTCTATCAAATGTAAGTCTAAACCTAAATTCCCAACATGTACTAGTCTATCAAATGTAGGTCTAACCCTAAATTCCCAACATGTACTAGTCTATCAAATGTAGGTCTAAACCTAAATTCCCAACATGTACTAGTCTATAAATGTAGGTCTAACCCTAAATTCCCAACATGCCTGAAGGTGTGGGAAAGGGTCCTTGAATTGTTTTATTCCACTTTTATATGGTACCTATTCAGGGTCATATTTAGGTCATGTACAACATGTGCAGCTGCACAAGGTGGCCACATTTTTTGGCATCACTGCTCCATTAGGACCCCAACCTGCACATTTGTTTCATTTGTTGTGTATTCAGTAAATTTTGAATATGTCAATACTTTTAAAACTGAAGGAAATACTTCCACAGCTTATTGTTGGTAGTCTGTGCTTCAGTGAGCTGAAGTTTAGCTAAGTAGAAAATGGGGGAGTAAAATGAATGACGGTACAGTGGTCACACATCCTAAATAGGGTCCTGCATCTATCTATCTGAGAAGACTGACTTTATCTCAGAGTAAGTAAAGTAAAGATCCCTTTTCTTGCCTTTAGGCGCATCGGGTATATGGGAAGAGCACCCATATTTGTTCAGACCATCAGCAATAGGTGGGTAATGTGGTCAGCATTACGCCGGCCGTCTTTACTTCCCCAGGACAGCCATCCTGGTACCCATTTCAGGCTGGGTCGACCTGTAACGCCCTATACCATGAAAAAAATTCACGCAGCCAGCAGTGGGTTTTAATGGCCGTACTATGGAATTATGAGTCGGACTCGCAACGCCTAAGCCATGGATGCATGAGTGAGCATTGCGTGAGTAGAAATGGTTATAAAACATTCCCACCAATGTTGGAGATTGAACCTAGATCAATGGCAGGCAAGTAAACTAACCACCATACTTTAGCTTCCACATGAAACATTTCAACACAAATGCCACACTCTGATGCACCTTGAACCACATAAAGCTGCACACCACACAACTGAGGCAGTGTTGCTGTCTTGCCTACTCCTGTTTCAGTAGCTCTTCATCCAAGAATTGCTCCACCAGGCTGTTGAACTCTGTGTGGAACCTCAGGTGGAGGTTGTGCTTGCCCTCTGGAAAGTCAACCACCCTATGAGAAGAGAAACCACACTGTGCTCTGATACTTTCATGAGTGTGTTACTAACATACAAGAATGGGTGGTTAGGGGAAGCAGGACTAGCCTAAGCTAAACGCGGCAACATGTGTGGAATCATACCCTGGTTACAGACTAATAGGCATCTCTACCTTAAATGTCAGAACTGTTTCTGCATACCCTACTAGTTTCTGAGCTTGAAGATATCTGCAGCACAAAAACTATGCAGTGCTACCCACAGTACTGGGAGGATGGGAGTGGAGGGATGGTGTGGAGAATCTATACCAACTGCAGTCAGACAGAAGCAAGCTCTTGTTAGGGCTCAGATGACCCGACTGTCAATACTATGGGCTGAAATAGTTAAGACTCAGGTTTCCTGAGGACTGAAAACTCCCCGTGTGGGTTTCCAGGGCCTCATTTTGGGTAGGGGAAACAAAAATAGAACAGGTGTCCCACTCTGAAGATAGTATGGCTGTCCATTTTTCAAGATAGATCGGCTGTCTCTTTTTCAAGATAGAACGACTGTCCCTCTTTCAAGACAGATCAGCTGCACCTCTTTCAAGATAGAACGGCTGCCCCTCTTTCAAGCATGTCACAAAAGGTGATACATTTAGGGTGTTTTCTTTAAAGTCAGAGTGCATCTGCTTGAGACGAGGAAAGAACAGTCTGCAAATAAGCCACATCTGTATAAGAGATGTGCAAAACAACATTCTAGTACTGGAACAAGACAAGTCCAGAAGTAACCAAGCAACCAGAAATTTCAACCAGAGTTTACAGCTGGAGAACGCTAAGATGAAGACAAAATAAGTTCATACTAGAGACAACATTGCAGATATAGATAATCTATTTCAAGCGAACAATAGAGGAAGAAGAAGAAGAAGAAGAAAAAGATTCACAAAACCACTTTGCAGTTTACAATTTGTTTTAAAATCATCATAAAAGTGTATCTTTGCAGTGAAGATAGTTGCTAACAGAACATAAAGAAGAAGTCAAACGTCTGTAAACACAAAGAGTTAATGTAAAACCAAGTACCTGGAATTTGCGATGTGCTTATGTAGAAACGCTGGGTGTTCCTGTGATACCATAGGGTCCTTGACTCCATTCACAATCAAGGTTGGACACTGAATGTTGTGCAAGCTGTCAATACAGATATCTCCTGGAACAGATAACACCACAGAGTATACCTTAGGGACTAGGGTTTGAGTCTCTTGACAATATAATACCTAAACGCTTCTTTAATGGTTGTGAAATGGTAGATGATGACTCAACTCCAGATGTGGCTACAGGAAAGATTCATGTTCTCAGCATGTTACTTTGTTTACCGGTTATGTACCATAGCTGTCTTATTATTCCAGTGAATTCCCTGTGTGGGTTCCATGACCCACAACAAGTGGGGAAAACAAGTGCAGATCCACTCCTCCCTAACAAGCATGTCGTAAAGTCAACTAAGGGGGGGGGCCTTTCTTTGCAGTTGGAGTGCATTGGCCTGATAGATAAAGAACCAACAATCTGCATACAAATAAGTCAGTTATGTAAAATGGATGTGCACGCAACACTCATTCTGGAAAAAGACTAAAGCTTAGAGGTGATCAAAACAACCAGAACTTTCTGCCGGAAAGACGACAAACATTCCAGTACCTAAATAAACCACATTTCTGACCACAAATGCATGTAACAATCTCAGGTATACTGTACAAATGAATACAGTCTGAACAAGGTGAATATTGGAACATCAAAGAAATACAGGATGAAATTTGTTGGTGCTCAATCGTGCCATTTTTATTCTTAAGTGTTCCCAAAATGTGATACTGTGAGTTAAAATAGGTCACATCACTTTTGAAGACAAGGTGGATATCAAGGAGACAAATACAGTGGCAGCACGAGGATGCTTAATATAACAGCAGTTTGAACAGATGAAGTAACAGCTCAGCATGATGATGCTAAATATAACAGCAGTTTGAACAGATGAAGTAACATCTCAGCATGATGATGCTAAATATAACAGCAGTTTGAACAGATGAAGTAACAGCTCAGCATGATGATGCTAAATATAACAGCAGTTTGAACAGATGAAGTAACAGCTCAGCATGATGATGCTAAATATAACAGCAGTTTTGAACAGATGAAGTAACAGCTTAACAGGAAATGACACATGGTAGACATTATACAAGTGATATAAACTCCTTGGGCATGAAAAAAATTTTTTCAGTCATTCACACAAAGGAGGGTCACTTCTGACAAACAAAATCTACTTGTGTATGCTCTTTTGATGAAGTATGCTTCTTTATTTCTTTCATTCATTGACTAGAGAGAAGATCAGTTTGTTTGTTTGTTGTTTGTTTTAGTATCCAGAAGCCAGGGGTTGTAAATACCGTAAATCTGGGAGAAATGTGGCTTTTCTGCCTACCCCCGGGAGTGAACCCAGACCACAAGAAGTTCGTCACCCGGTCAACGCGCAATCTGGTTTAGCCAACTACGCTAGAGAGCCGGGCAGAGAGATCAGATGGTCATGCAATGCTCACTCACTCACCATTTCTGTGGGTGGTGTAGTTCAGCACGGCCTGAGACCAACCCTGCCACTGCTTGCGGAAATATTCTTCTCCATACACATCTATGAAGGGCTGTTTCATCTTTGGGCTCCAGTCGTCAATGTTTTGTACGTCTGATCAGTACATGACAATGATTAGAAAACAACCAGGAGAATCAAATATTTAATAGGTAAACAGTCAACTCAGGCAAGTGGGAGTACAGATAAACAATTACAGCATAGTCAACAATCATCGTTGAGTGGCAGTGGTCCAGTGGCTAGATGCTTACTTGCTTGTGTGAATCTCAGAATCGACATCACAGCACATCGGGTATACTCATAGGTGGTCCGTCTCCCGCAGCAAATGTCTTAAGGTGTAGAAGCTGACTGTTGCAGTAGCACACTGATTACAAACTTGTCATTCTCTTCCTCTCATACATCCCTCCTTGGCTGATCCACATCTAATTACTCGATCAAACATTCTTATGCATGTTGTTTCATCTAACCTCATGTATTCTATCAGCATTCGTTCATAAATGGCTTTCAGAATGTCTCCTTTGTCCAGTACAAGTGTTCCTGTTTCGTGGTCAGAACATCATCTGTGAAGCTCTTGGGTTTCTTTTTCTTAGTGTTCACAGGCTGTCAACTCTGGACAAAGTTTTGGTTATTCTTCCACTTTTGGGCTTTAGTTTTGTTCCAGAACTTGATTTTGCATGCACATCTGTTTTACAGGTCTGGCTTATTTGTATACAGATGCTGGCTCCTCACCTGTCGGGCAGACACACTCTGACTTAGAAGGACACTCCTTTAATTAGTCAATACATATGATACGCTTGTTAGGGAAGCAGGAAGGGCTTTATTTTCTTCTCCTACAATGGGCCCTGGAACCCATATGGGAAGGTATGGGGTTCGAATACATACTGGGGGAATTTTTACAAATAAAACTGACCTTGGCTTCCAGGTCAAGCCACCCTAAAACTGGTACCAGGAAATGGTGTGGGAAGTAAAGGCAGCCAGTATCAGGTTGAACAAGCCACCCACTGGTCTATAAATATGAGTCTAGCATTAAATGCCTCATGTATCACTGGCAGGAAAGGTAGAAGCAATGGAAGCCCGTCATTCTAACAATCTCGTCACTGAGGTGTGTTTCTTGTAGGACAACGATGTTATTGCTGTAGAGGAGCTTTTCGAAAATGGGTTGGGCGCTGATTGAACAAAGCACAGTTCCAACAGAGAATGCAAACAGACTTGAAGCTGAGTCTACTGTGTTTCATGCACACTGCTGAGGCAAATCACAAACACATGTACAGTGAAATCAGATAACTAGTTCACAGATACACAACTGTAGTGTAGCTCCAACTTGCAGGAAACAAACTTGAAGCTGAGTCTACTGTGTCTCAGACAGACTGCTAAGGGAAATCACAAACACATGTACAGTGAAATCAGATAACTAGTTCACAGATACACAACTGTAGTGTAGCTCCAACTTGCAGGAAACAAACTTGAAGCTGAGTCTACTGTGTCTCAGACAGACTGCTAAGGGAAATCACAAACACATGTACAGTGAAATCAGATAAATAGTTCACAGATACACAACTGTAGTGTAGCTCCAACTTGCAGAAAACAAACTTGAAGCTGAGTCTACTGTGTCTCAGACAGACTGCTAAGGGAAATCACAAACACATGTACAGTGAAATCAGATAACTAGTTCACAGATACACAACTGTAGTGTAGCTCCAACTTGCAGGAAACAAACTTGACATACACATTTTTATTTTACCATGCTAGTCAGGCATCAGGCATTTCAAACATGCAACCTTTTGCGTGCAGTATTTAAATCAAAATAACTGACTTCAATTAGTTGTCGTGTGTGTCATTCATGACAACACAAATGTGGCCCACATAGCCCTCGGTGGACCCTCAGTTTGACATGCTAGCTCTCCCCCGTGTGCGTTCCGGGGCCCCATTGTAGGGAAAACAAGAATAGACCCACTGCCTCCCCAAAAGCTTGTCGTAAGAGTCGACTAATTGAGAAGCTTCCTTTGAAGTCAGAGTGCATCTGCCGGAGAGGCAAGGAGCCAACAGTCTGTATTCAAGAGAATGAGATCTGTAAAACTGATGCACATGCAACACTCAGGTTCTGGAGCAGGACTGCAGTTCAGTAGTGGACGAGCAACCAGAACCTTCCGCCAGAGTTTACAGCTGGTGAACGCGAAGAAGAAGAAGAAGACATGCCAGCTATACAAAACATTCTCATCCCAGTCCATCACCATCATCATCATCATGTGCCATGCCAGTATGTGGACGCTGTCATGTTTTGCATCTCACACAATTGCCAGAATCACAGACAAGTTCAATGCTTTCATCTGGCCCTATCCATCTGGCCAGGCCATCCAGGTATAGATATCTTTGCCCTCCTCTTGCTCTCTTTCTATCAACCTTGCCAGTTGTTACCAGGTTCTCACAAGCTGTCAGAAATAACTTCAGTGCTTCACCAGTTCTTACCTCATGCATTTAAAAGCTCCTGGTAGGGTACAAGAAATGTTGATAAAATGACAGGTAAATACATACAGGTACAGATAGATGAAAGACAGGACTGAATGACAGACTGAAAGATGACAGACAAGTCTAACAGACAGATAGATAGATGAGAGACAAAACCAACTGACAGACAGATGTGTAGACAGACAAACAGTAAGGTAAGCAGGCAGGTACAAATACTGAAAGGATTCCTTGATAAAAGAATACGTACTCTTGTACAGCTGCAGGTCCACGTCTGAAATGTAGGCGTTGGAGCCCCAGACAACCAGCTTGTGTACACTTGCAGGATTGGAAGCAGCAAGTATCATGGCTACTATACCTCCATCACTCCAGCCAAGCACTGAATATCTTGGAATGTTTAATGCCTAAAAACAACAACAACAACATTAAGTGACATATTTCTGTGACAGCTGGCCCCAACTGTATTCAAATCTCCCTCAAGATGAGGAATGCTTGAAATAGTAAACCCTGTCTCCCAGACATATGGTACTTTTACCAGTTTGTTCTAGTCTTTGACTTCTGTTAGCTCCTGTTTGTTCATCCACTTCTGGACTTCAGTCTTGCTCTAGGGCTTGAGTTCTGTGTGCATATCCATTTTACAGATCTGGCTTAGTTGTGTGCAGACTGTTGGTTCATCATCTCTCAGGGAGACGTACTCAAATCTTGAATGAAACTTTGATCCTATCCAAGTTAGCCAGGTACCCAGTTGGGAATCTGTTTCTAGGTTGACTACGGAGAGATGTAGATAGTTCTTGATGGTCCCTGTATGGGTTCCAGGGTTCTATTGTAAAGACAAGAATAGACCCAGCGCCTCCCCAACATGCATGTCGGAAGTTGACTAACTAGGGGCTTCCTTTAGAGTCAGACCGCATCAGCCTGAGAGGTAAGGAACCAACAGTCTGCACACAAATAAGTAAGATCTGTAAAACAGATGCACACGCAAGATTCAGGACCTGGAACGCAGCCAAAGTCCAGAAATGGACGAACAAGCAGGTCTTTTGGCCGGTAAACACAAACAAACCAACAAACAACAGTTCTTGATGAGTGACAAGTATGAACCCTGGTCCTCCTAGTGCACCAACAAGAGTGGCTCAGCACCTCTGCATCCCGTCCTTGGTTCAAAGTATTTCTGTTCTAAACAGTTATTACTTTGATTAACTCCTTCTGCCCCTGCCCACAGTTACACGAACCTACCCAGTCACACTTTATCTAACTCATGTCCCAGATCTTTGCTGCTGTGACCAGTTATTACTACATTACAGAACAGTTATTATTTAAACCCCTTCTTCTTCCTTTCGTTCACATAAAATAAGTTGTCTTTATCTGCAACTTTTGTCTCTCAATGAAATTTCACTCCTGTTTTTAGTTTATTCAGTGGTCTAAGTTGACTTCCCACTGTTGTTCTTGTTTTGACCAAAAAGTGCCCTGTTCTGAGGTGCAGGATAATGACTTTTCTGATCTGACCATAATAAGGTATTCATCTTGTGCTAGGGTTTGGTGGTTTTCTGACTGGTTAATAATAAATACCGGGGAGGGGGGAGGGGGAGGGGAGGGGAATGGGGGGACAACAACCAAAAAACACACACAAGTTAACTGTTTCTTACAAACTAAAAAGTTAGTTGTGTATCCTTAACAGGACGTTACAGAACCAGCATTATTTTTTTGGCTGTTGTGGTTTTTCTAGGCAATTTACATCCAGTAGTTTGCTATTGCTTTCTGGACGGTCGGCTTCTCGATACCACTGTCAAAACTGGCGCAAGGTCCGTAGCTGGGATCGAACCTGGCACCCCGGCATTACAAAGCTTGTTCGCAACGCCTAAGCCACAGATGCTGACTTACAAACTAAGCACGTATTTACTGTTCAATGGAAAGATGATGAGGAAAGGAAGTGGTCACCATAGGTCATATGCCAGGGCCTAGAAACTGTTAATGCCAAACACTTCACATCCAAATGACAGTATCTGCTTTAAGACTATCTTTTCATCTTAACCTCTGACAACTCACAGTGAGACTCTGATGCATGAGATGGCAATCATCACAAACCAAGCTTATTAGCAAGCCAAATGACAATGTTGATAAACTGAGAGCCAAACAGTAAAGAAAACAAACTACTAGTTCATCCCCAACCATGCTAATTAGCCAGCCACATGACAATGTTGATAAACTGAGAGCCAAACAGTAAAGAAAACAAACTACTAGTTCTTCCCCAACCATGCTAATTAGCCAGCCACATGACAATGTTGATAAACTGAGAGCCAAACAGTAAAGAAAACAAACTACTAGTTCTTCACCAACCATGCTAATTAGCAAGCCAAATGACAATGTTGATAAACTGAGAGCCAAACAGTAAAGAAAACAAACTACTAGTTCTTCCCCAACCATGCTAATTAGCAAGCCACACAATAATGTTGATGAACTGAGAGCCAAACAGTAAAGAAAACAAACAACTAGTTCATCACTAACCATGCTAATTAGCAAGCCACACGACGATGTTGATGAACTGACAGCCAAACAGTAAACAAAACAAACTATTAGTTCCTACCTGCATAAAAACAGCAACATCATCAGCATCTCTGTGGTAAAACATTGGAGGCCAGTCTCTGTCTGGAGGTCTGCTGCTACCGTAACCTCTCAAATCCAGGGCAATAATCCGGTATTTGCTAGCACTGAGACCCGTCAACTGGGGCAGGAAATCTGTACGAGTGGTTCCTAGAAAAACCATCAAAGTAATGTGACAATTGTGCTGGCAATAGAGATGGAAGAAAATAAAAAAGGGTTATATGGACATTTCAGAAACTAATTATAATATTTTTCTGGATAACAGATAATCATATAAGTAAAATTCAGCATCATCCTTATCTTATCCTCAAATATGGGTTGTAGGGGTGTCATGAATAACCAACAATTATAATCCCTCACTGCTCTATTTTCAACAAAATGCACAAGTGTGGAAGTACTGCATTTTTAACCCATTTCCTATGACTAAGAAGGACATACAATAAGACTGCCATTGGTAGTATTCACTGGCTGCTGAAGATGAGGACGGAGCACTCAGGGAATGTCCCGAGTGCTGCAATGTGAGTTCTTAGCTTAACTCAACTCAATACTAGTCAATCAGTTCAGAGTTGTCTCTGCCTTTCACTTCTCTGTTTGCCCTCACCTGTACCCTGTATGATTATCTCTGAGAGGAATACTATACATGACAAGCCCAATCAGGCAAGCTTCAATGTTTCGTCACTGACCCCCCAAAAAATGGAGGCAGTACCAGTCTTTGAGTTCCAATTTACTGGACCTATCCCCTTGACCCTGGGACTTGACACCAGCTCTAACTGCAACAGGACCTGGCCATGTTGATGTGAAAGGTAATGAGTGAACGGACAAATTGCAAGCAATGCACCAATGCATGCTGTAAGAAGCATGGACAGAGCAGATATCATTAATTCTGTACAGACTAGGTTAATGGATAATTATACATTTCTGATGCTAACATGATCGTGTGACATAGGGGTAAAGCACATAAATTTTAATACCACAACATAACATCCCCTGTGTCGGTTTCCGGGGCCCCATTGTGGGGAAAATGAGAATAGACCCACTCCCTGCCCAAAAGCATGTCGTAAGAGTCGACCATTGTGGGGAAAACGAGAGTAGACCTACTCCCTGCCCAAAAGCATGTTGTAAGAGTCGACCATTGTGGGGAAAACGAGAATAGACCTACTCCCTGCCCAAAAGCATGTCGTAAGAGTCGACCATTGTGGGGAAAACGAGAATAGACCCACTCCCTGCCCAAAAGCATGTCGTAAGAGTCGACTAATTGGGAGCTTCTTGTGAAGTCAGAGTACATTTGCCTGACAGGAAAGAAACAGTCTGCATGCAAATGAGTCAGACCTGTAAAATGAATAAGCACAAAACACCCAGTTTCTGGAATAGGACTAGAGTCTACAAGTGGATGAGCTACCAGAATTTCCCAGTGGAGTTGACAGAGAGTGAACGCGAAGAAGAAGACAACATAACATAAGATAACATTCGACTGCAAGGACCACTATGGGAACTAAACATTGGGGCACATATAATCAACTGGGCAATTCTATCCAGAAAATAAATACTGAAGTCTGAGGCTCAAATACAGGGGAATCTGAATAATAATAATCATCATCATCATCATAAATATAAAAATAATCATAATAATAATAATAACAAGATAATTATGATGATAAAGAAAAAAACAGATGAAGAAGTAGCAGGAAAAGCAGGAGGAACCACAATTATCAACTTTTGATTGTCAGATAAACTGGAACAATTATCATCATCATCAGTTGCCTTGCCAACTAGTGTGGGCGATCATGGGTCTCCACAATCTGTGATCTTCTGCAGCATGTATCAGTCCGTGTGCCGACACACCTCCATGCCGTGCAAAAAGACTGTCAAGAATCTTCTCTCGTTGTCTTCCTCCATCCCTCCTTCCACAGATCTTTCCAGTGGTCACAACATGTTCTATTTTCCCTCTTCTCATAACATGGCAGAAAAATGATGACTGTTTCTTTCTGATGTCTGTGATAAGTTGTCTTCGAGCTCCCGCCTCTTTCAAAACCTCTTTGTTGCTCTTTTTGGCTTTTTGAACAATACACATTTGAAAAATGCCTTACCTAAAGCCCCCGGCAGAAGTAGAACTGTGTGTTTACCAGTACCTGTTTCCTCATAATGAAAATCTACTCCGTTTACTTGCTGTTTGGCTGAGATGATTACACTGAATAATAAGACAATGCATTAAATATAGCGCAGACTATTTTCTCCACATTCAAGACTGTAAACTATTAATATAAACATACAAAAGAAAGAAAAAGGCAGATAGTTTTCTCTTCTGTCTGTTATCCCCCTATTATCCCCGAACAATTCAAGAAAAGGCATCATATTATTTGCTATTGCAAGCTTCTTGCCTCAGTTTCTCCCCATCTTTTTAATTTCAAGCTCTAGTTCCTTTTTTTTTTCACGTTTTTTTTTGTGGTGGGAGGGAGTGGGGGGTGTGAATCAGCTTTATTCGGCTACTTTCCGAATAACGGTCCCAAATTATCAAGGCTAAAAAAATACCCTAACAGGGCCTTAGTCATATGTAAATTCCGGACCTCTTTCTGGCGACTATACCGCATAATGCGGAAAAGCTTTCGCCGAGTTAGAGTCACCGCTGAGAGTTTCTCCCGCACCGCAGGGGTGGGGGTGGGGGGGGGGGGGAGGGGGGTTGGGGCTAAACTAGATGACTGGGACTCAAAGCAGCAGCAGCAGCCGCATCTCCTGCAGCTTCTTACATTTTATTTATTTGAGTCGTCTAGTTTAGCCGCCCCCCCCCCCCCCCCCCGGCGCCCCCCGTGCTGTAAGCAGTTGTAGTATAGTCGCCGGAAAGAGGTCAGCAATTTACATATGACCGAGGCCCTGCTAGGTTATTTTCTTAGCCTCGAATAATTATGACTGTAATTCGAAAGATAGCCCATTATTTTTGACCGGGTGGCTTCCAGTGCAAACATTCTAGTTTTTATTGTTATAAGGTTTTCTGCTCTCCTCCGAACTTGTACCCCGGCATTATGGTGGCAGCCGAACAAATATCCTTACGGAGCTCAGTCCTATAATAAATATGCAAACTTTCGGCGACAAACGAATGGCGGCAAAACTAGGATTACCTGACAATTTCAAGAGACGCAACACTGCAGACGATAGTAGTAGACGATAATAGCGACCGTTGACACTTTCGAGCGTTTCTGCAGACGATACTAGCGACCATGGACAATTTCAAGACACGCAACATTACTGACGATAAAAGCGACATGGCTGGGAAACCACGTGCACTGAGGCAGTTTAGCAGCGTTGTTGTTGTCCTCAAACTTTTCGGCATGCCTAAAATGCGGTTACACTCACCGCCTACAGTATACCCCGCGCCGCTACGCGCGGCACGGAGAGGCGGCTAAACTAGGTGCCTGGGACTCACGAGAAAATTAATTGGAGGAAGTTGCAGGAGATGCGGTAGCTGCTGCTCGTGAGTCCCAGCCATCTAGTTTAGCTCCTATCAGCGCCACGCGTAGCGGCGCGGGGGATACCATCGGCGGTGAGGCATAGTCACAGAAACAGCTGCCAATTAAATATCGCTGAGACCCTGTTAGAGCATTTGTTTCGTTATACGGAGCCGATCCTAGTTTTGCCGCGATTCGTTCGTCGCCGGAAGTTTGCATATTTTTAATAGGACTGAGCCCCGTAAGGATATTTGTTGCCGCCATAATGCGGGGGTTGAGGTTCGGAGGAGAGCCAGGTTTTCTCCCTTTGCATCCCATCCAAAGCCAGCGTCTTTTCCTCTCTTCTAGATTCAATGAAATTTGTTCAGTAATCGGGGGATAATGTTTCATGTTTTATTTAACAAATCTTCCACAACTGAGTTTGGATAAAGGTACTGTAAAATGAAGAATGCAATCTGGCAAATTAGATCAAAACGACCGGTAACACAAATGTCCATTGAATTAATTAAAGTGTTTGCTACAGGATTGTAAATATTTACCGGTCTTTAAAAGTTGAGTATTCGCGTGAAGTAACATTTGCCGCTGCTATTACAGCAGACAGAGAGGCTGGAGGCTGGAATAAAGCAGTGTGTTTTAAAACACAGCGAATTCTTCTGGCTGCCATTTTCGTCTGCTTTTCAATAGCAGAAGTCAACTTGACCTTTGCACCGCAATGGTTTGTTTTCGTTTTCTCACAACAAGAGCTGTGACACAGATGGGTCAGTAATTAGGGGCAGGCGAAGTGTATGCTCATTACAACCATAAGTCATCTCCATGTGACATGCAATTTTTCGTTGTTTGAAGCCCCACCCTGGCTCTTGCCAGGGGCCGCAATATAGCCCGACCATAAATATGACCTAATGGCTAAACGTGGTTTCTTGGACCTCTCCGCTGTGATCCTCATCCACATGGTGGCACTTTGTGTCATCGGGTGTTTGTCGCTTTTGTGATGTCCTGGTGGGGTAGAAAGTCAGTCAGTCATGGGCCTTCACAGTAAGCTCAAGGGGAAAAATCATCAAGGAGATAAATGGCGCCTTTGCTGTTACAACTAGTAGCCTTGCAATTGAAACTATGGCTGTAACAAAGGCTTTAGTGCCTTTAGCATTGCTTGGTACTCAAAAGTTCACACACGTATGCTTTCTTAGTGACTCGATGAATATGCTTAAAAAAAGTCAAGCTTGATTTATCAGGCAAGAATGGATTTCAACATTAAGCACTTCACGAATATCTGCCCTAACCTTAATCTTTGTGCCAGGTTTTCAAGGGAACGAGCGTGCAGACTATCTTGCCGACACTGCAGTTGCTATGGCTGGCCGAGTACTGGACATAAGTGATACTATCAATGCCATGCGCTGTACTTACCGTACCGAGCAGCACGACAAAGGACATGATTCCATATTCCTGTCTAAACTGATTGACAAGGGGGTGCAGCCTGGAGCTGCAAGAAATTAACATTTCACTAGTTTCATTACAGAACAGGCGTCATCAGTCGTGTTACACTTGAGGAGCTTTTGAGGAGGAGATCGAAGCACCTGTGGGTCTGCCCGGAGTGCTGTGATGATATTCCTTTCTAAGCACTAATTACAGCAAGAGCTCTCACAAGAATTTGGGAAACGATTGCAAACATGTTGCAAGTCCTTTGCAGAACGTCGCTCTCATCAAAATCCTCCTGAAAGAAACGGTCTCTCGTCAGTTCACCCGCTTCGTGTACTTTCATATCCAAAAAGTTACTGATATCCTGTGTTCATAATCGTGCTGGTCGGCCTCTGCAACTCCTTCCATTGCCTTCTGCTATTAGTTTTCCAAGCAAGAGGTAGTACTATACTAAATACATGTACAACACAAACTGTGACTGGAAAACACAACGGGGACGGAAAAGATGCGCATAATTACAATCGAACGTTTTATCAATGTCTTTATTAACGGAATACTAAATACAACACAAACTGGGACTGGAAGAACTAAACGGACAAGAAACAAAATCTGCAAAGCAATCATATGCATTTATGGAATAAATACAGAGGTTCTCAAAGAACGGGATGAAAAAAAAAATAGTCGCTTGCATTTTTAACGGGATATTTGGAATTTGAAAGGATGCGACTCTCCTACCAGTTTTTTTTTTTTTTTTTAATTCAACATAATACGTATACAATCTAACAACTAGAAATAGAAGTTTGAAAAAAAACACACACATACATATAAATATCAATTTTGTTAGTAAACCACATATGTTACGACAGCCAAAAACTGGCTTAATTTCTATTCGCAGATTAAATCCCCCCCCCCCCCCCCCCCCCCCCATATTTTCATTACCACATTTAACTAGTATATTTTCTTGTTTGGAATATACCTGTCACATCGCAAATATTTTCAAGAAACGGCTGTGCCAGCTAGTCGACAGAAACCCTCACTAAACACCCGGTTGTTCAGCCTTTAAAGTGGTTTTAAAAGTTAGGGATCCTTGTAGTTTAAAACTGTTGATAATGGCTCTAGCCTTACAACCTTTCACCCCTGACCCCAGAGACGGAAAGGGAAACCTAGTTATTCGGGAACAAGTTCACCAGTCACAAGATTGTGACTTGGGCTTCCAGGATATTCCCGTCTTACATAAGAGATCAAGTATTGTGTTGTTTTGATTGCTCTGACATTATAGCAAGCTTATCTCACAGAGGCGCCTTACTTCACCTGCGGTCATTTCTCGGTGTCTCCAGTCGGTGACCAAAGGTCTCTGAACGTCAACAAAACAACGCAGGTTTGTGTGTTTACCAAGAGAGAAATTTTTTTTTTTAAATCTAATGTCTGGGTACATTATGAATGTAACATACGTTAGTGACAATGACTAAATAAATACATGTTTTGTCACAGGATTTTTTTTTAATTTTTATAGTCACTATCTCACACTAAAACTGTATACTATATTATTTCATTATCACATATATGATATGTACACAAACATGGTTCAAATAAAATGAACATATAAAATAATTGGCTCTCCTTTAAATAACGGTCGCTAGCTGGAAGGCGACGGCCGCTTAGTCTGAGTTCACTCCTCTGGCTGCAGTGCAATTACAGAGTGGAAAACATGGAACAAAACAAATGATATAGTTGCCTGTCATCCTAGGGTTAGTCTTAGGGTGTGGGTTAGGATTTGGGGTAGGGTTAGGGTTTGGGTTAGGGGTAGGGTTTGGGATAGGGTTAGGGGTAGGGTTAGGGTAACACATCACGGAAACGACGCATGCTTATCGCTTATTACGACATATAGATCCGCAGGTCTCACATCTACGGTCAGTAAGTCTTGCGTCGGAAGAATGCGGTTGCTAAGTTGTGTCGCAGCCTGTGGTCTACAAGAGTCTTGCGTAGCCATCTAGTGTAGCCCCAATCCATGCTGCGCGTAGCGGCATGGGAGATACTCTAGATGGTCGCGGAAGTCACCGGAAGTCCCAATTCGGCGGTGGTGGTATAATCTCCGGAAGTCCGCAATTGACATGTGACTGAGGCTCTGTTAGGGTATATTTTCGGCTTCGATAATTTGGGGCCGTTATTCAGATAGCCCAAAAATCACATGAACAAAGTGAGAAAGGCAATTAAAGAACACAAGACACGGCTATCCTCCGAAAAACGGGCACTAAAGATGGCGGCCACAAAATATCCTGATGAGCCTCAGTCACATGTCATGTGTTGTAAATAATCAAAAATTGAAGTCAAAACTAATAAGGAATGAAAATTTTTTTATATCAAATCGACTACTTACCGATGATTTTATGCCTTTATATCTGGAAATTATGGCACACAAGTTGTAAGTAGTGCCAGAAAATCTGATGTTTGTGGCTGTTACGCCATTAAAACTCGACTAATTGCCGACTTCCTTCCGATGAAAACTCCGCCGAGAGCCTCCCACACTAGCAAATAAAATGAGGACGCTGCAGGAGATGCGGTAGCTACTGCTCGTGGGTCCCAGCCATCTAGTTTAGCCCCATCCCCGGAGAATCGGCGGCGAGTTTAACTCTGCGGTTTGTTCCGTTTCTCGAAATTGTCAACAGACACTAATCCTAGTTTTCCCGCCATGTGCTTGTGACCACAAGTGCGCAATTGACACGTGACTGAGGCTCGTCGGGATATTTTGCGGCCGCCATCTTTAGTCTCCGTTATTCTGAGGATAGCCCAAGACACAATTTGTAATTTAGACATACAACACAGTAGAGCATCTCCAGTAACAGGGTATAGACAGAGAAATGTTAAGTAAAGATCAGAATCTTCACAAACATCCTTAAATTTGATAAATGACGAAAACAGCAATATCTTGATCGAGAGTAAAGAAAATACTAGAGAGGTGGAGGGAGCATTGTGGACAAGATGTACAAAGATCAACAAACAGGGCAGATGCAGAAAGTAGAAGCATAAGAACCTGAGCCTCACGGAAAAGAGAAGCCATTGTCAGTATATACCATGCCACTATCTGTATAAATCTTGTACTATGTTTGAAAATCTGAAACAGTGCCAACTTTCCCAGATCGAGGAAAAGAAGTCTACACTCCTCTCTGAAAAAAAAAGGAAATCTTAAATGATGTACCATTTAGTGTACTATACCTCTGATCAGCCATGCCAGTAAAATCCTTCGGCAAATTATCGTGGAAAGGATTAAAAAGAAAAAAGAATATGAATGACAAGAAGTTTTAGACACGGTAGAGGAACAGGGGACCATATTTTGTATATGAGAACCATCTTTGAGAAATTTAAGTACAAGATAGACCTTTATCTAGGCTTTCCCTGTATGCCTTCCTGGGTCCCATTTTGGTTTTGGGGGAAAGAATGGTGTAGTAATTATATACATTCATTGTCAATAGTGCTACAGTTGAGAAAATAAAACCTGACCATTTGTGTTGTCCACAGGATATTTTCTGATTTGTGCAAGAGAGTGTAATACCAAGCTCAAGGAAACCACCGTAATAATGGAACAGCTACCTGAAGAGGTCAGTAGCAAGTGGCTAGGTTGCTTTTCTCACTGTTTTCTGGTTTGCCTCGACCACAGTTCCCCAGTTGTATAGCAGTTACAACCCCAGTTGTATAGCAGTTACAACCCCAGTTGTATAGCAGTTACAACCCCAGTTGTATAGCAGTTACAACCACAGTTGTATAGCAGTTACAACCCCAGTTGTATAGCAGTTACAACCCCAGTTGTATAGCAGTTACAACCACAGTTGTATAGCAGTTACAACCTCAGTTGTATAGCAGTTACAACCCCAGTTGTATAGCAGTTACAACCCCAGTTGTATAGCAGTTACAACCCCAGTTGTATAGCAGTTACAACCCCAGTTGTATAGCAGTTACAACCCCAGTTGTATAGCAGTTACAACCACAGTTGTATAGCAGTTACAACCCCAGTTGTATAGCAGTTACAACCTCAGTTGTATAGCAGTTACAACCACAGTTGTATAGCAGTTACAACCTCAGTTGTATAGCAGTTACAACCACAGTTGTATAGCAGTTACAACCACAGTTGTATAGCAGTTACAACCCCAGTTGTATAGCAGTTACAACCACAGTTGTATAGCAGTTACAACCTCAGTTGTATAGCAGTTACAACCTCAGTTGTATAGCAGTTACAACCCCAGTTGTATAGCAGTTACAACCACAGTTGTATAGCAGTTACAACCCCAGTTGTATAGCAGTTACAACCTCAGTTGTATAGCAGTTACAACCCCAGTTGTATAGCAGTTACAACCACAGTTGTATAGCAGTTACAACTACAGTTGTATAGCAGTTACAACCTCAGTTGTATAGCAGTTAGTATTCTTGTTGACACAGTCAGTTGCCCAAGTTTAACCCCACCAGCATCAGGATTCTTTTTTCTTCTGTTTTCCCCACCAGCACTTCTCTAGGGTTGAGGTAAAAAAAAAAATACAAGATATTATTATAAATGTATGGTAAAGGACAGTGGTGATGATTGGAACTGGCTAATTGAACCATGCCATCGATTATTTGAAGGCTTAGTAGATCACAGCCCATTGCAGAAACAGATCACAGCTGCCAGAAGCAAATAGTTAGTTTGTTTGTTTTTAATATCATGAAAATCAATTATCTGAAATATGCTACAAGAGGATGGAATTGATGGAAGAATTTTACAAACTGGCATGTTTGATGGAAACATACTTACAGGCAAGATTCACAGGAATATTGTTTCTGCTGGCAAAACTAAAAAAGACAAGTTATAAGATTACAGAGCAGACATTTGGATAGCCCATCATCTTCTCCTTGTGTGTTCGGGGGCTGCATTTGGAAAGGGCAGGAGGGGGGGGGGGGGGGGTTGTGGAGGGAGTTAGCAGAATAGATTAACAAGCATGTTATACAAGGTGACTAAGGAAGGATTTGTGGATCTCAGTGTTGCTGGGCCAAAAGACACAGATATCATCCAGTCTAAAATGGGTATGAGAGCACATCCTAGGGTTAGTGACAACTACCAAACCAGCATTCTGGACAGATCCATAGGTGTCCATTCTCTTTCTCAGTAGCTTCACAAGTGTAAAGCAACTGATCAGGTCCGTTCTGTGTTGATTTATCAGACATCTTGTGCCCTTAGTCAAATGTTTATACTCGGGAAGGCTTACCGGTCAATAAATGCCTGCAGAAGTTGGATGTGTCAGCTCAAAGGCGTAGATAGCACAGCCCTGCTGTAAATGAGCACAACACAGTTACATCTATGGATGAACACAGTAGAAGAAATGTTTATATCTGGCTTCTCCAGGTTTACTTTCATGTCCACTTATATAGACAGGGATACTGCTCCCTGCTTGTTATAGTCATCTTTACAATATGCATCTTGCATGGCATTAATGTCATCACTCTTGCCCCCCCGTGTGAGTTCCGGGGCCCCATTGTGGGGAAAACAAGAATAGACCCACTGCCTCCCCAAAAGCATTGTCCACCCGATAATTTGAGACTCTTTTCGAAGTGTCTGCCGAGAGGCAAGGAACCAACAGTCTGTATTCAAGAGAATGAGATCTGTAAAACTGATGCGCAACACTTCTTGTTAGCAGGTCAGTTCGAGCTACAAAACCTTCCGCCAGAGTTTACAGCTGGTGAACGCGAAGAAGAAGAAGAAGATCACTCTTGCCTGTGCTACGTCAGCCATAACTGCATTGTCCACCCTATAATCTGCACGCTTGTTGTCTCGAACACCCACATTGACAGGGATACTGCTCCCTGCTTGTTACAGTCATCTTTACAATATGCATCTTGCATGGCATTAATGTCATCACTCTTGTCCGTGCTACTTCAGCCATGATAACTGCATTGTCCATCCTATAATCTGCACGCTTGTTGTCTCGAACACCCACATAGCCACATAGACAGGGATATTGTTCCCTGCTTGTTACAGTTATCTTTATGATATGCATTTTGCATGGCATTAATGTCATCACTCTTGCCCGTGCTACGTAAGCCATAATTGCATTGTCCACCCAAAGATCTGCATGAAGATTTTCTAGGAATAAACGTGGGACATTCAACCCATCAGCCATTTAGTTATGACTGGTCTAAAACGATGCGATTAGCACCATATATCTGATGGGCCTTTTGTCCTGAAAAGATAGCCATTTTTCTTACATTATTACTGGCTTACTGTGACTCTTCTTTTCTTTCTTGTCTTTACTCCTAGAATGCCTCGCAACATCTGGACAGGAAGAGATCTTTCGAACAGGCCCTTCTATTCACTGTATATAGTAGTTTTCAGTGAGGTTTATGAGATCTCTTCATTTTTTTTTTTTACAAGCAGTAAATTAGCCACTGTCGGTTTGCCGGACTAGTCACAATGTTTCAGACATTCCTAGAATAGTCACATTCAAACTAGATTATCGCATTCAGACTAGCATTACAGAAGCCCCAGATACTGGTTCTGTGGTCTTGAAGTCAAGTACAAATTAAAGGACCCTTTTTTACTGTGCCCTTGGCACATCAAGTGTTCAGTGCATCACCTATATTTCGATAGATCAGTCGGCACTTGATGGGTGTCAGGGTCAGCATCACGTCGACCATTCCCAGGACATTACCTGGCACCCATTTTAGACTGGGGCGACCTGAGAGCCAAGGTCATTTCTAGGGGAAAAAAATGTGCCTTAGTGTTTTTTTTAAAACCCTAGACCTTTAGGTTGGCAGGCTAATGTCTGGCCACTATGGTTCCCTAACTGTATACTGTATGATCTGGCCATCCTCACTGTCAGTGCTACACAGATTGAAAATTTGAACACGTGCAAAATGAACCCATGAGCTCCTTAAAATATGCGCTGATAAGGAATACCCACTGCATCAAGCGCTTTTAAGTAAAAAGTGTGACAGGCTGAAGAGAGGAAAATCATGGCTAGGTAGGGAATAAGATGTTATCAAGCAAAAATGCAGCCTAACCGACATCAGCCCTGGTGCTGAGTGGATACCCGTGCCTGATGCATTTATTTGTGCATTTTCCTGTATTGCCACCCTTGACAGGTGATGCAGAGATCAACGCTGTCATCAGTGAAGATTCAGACGAGGCAGATGTACTGATTTACACAGACGGCTCCATTATAAACCCCAAAAAAATAACACGAGCATTCACAGTCTGCTTAGCGAGCAGAACAGTCAAAGAAGCCAACCGTGGCTTCTCCATGACAACCAGCAGCATGACAGTGGCTCAAAACAACAAAATTACACTCTCGCATGTGTACTTAATGATTCAATAAGTAAGATCCAAAGGGTTCATGCAGGTTTGGTGTGAAGACAATGGCTTGAATCATTACAGAAGTCCACTATGTGTGGTCACCTTTATTTTCATTGCGGGACACGCAGCATAGATGGAAATAAAGAGGTGAAAGGTTGGCTAAATCCGCTATCACTACCGATGGTCAGCCTATGGACCTATGGCATGCTGATATTTTGCCCTCTGAGAAATGGGAAGGGTGGAGGGCTTTGGGGGCAGTGAATTCACATCACTCATCAGAATGATAGACTTGGGAGTTAAGATCAGCATAGCAAAAATCGAGATGCACACCAGGCACATCTTGGACTTGTTAATCAACATAGATCTGGTACTATTAGCCACAGGATGCTGGGATTCATACTGAGGGGAGGATCTGAACACGTGTGGACATGTCTGGAGTGCAATGATGATAACCCTACTAAATAAATAATTAACTGACTGTATACTGTTTGAAATTAATGCACTGAACTGGGATGTTGTTGTCATGTTCGAACTACTGGAGTCAGTGACGCAAAACCTGGATTAGACATCTTTGCCAGGTTTGTATACTGTTTTCATAATTCTGTCCATTTCCATGCCAAATCTTTTATCTTCAACAAGAATTTGTTTTTTTTTTTCTGCAGCTAATCAGTCACATTTTCAAGTTCCTGTCCGTACCAGAGAGGAAAGAGGCATCTTTAGTCAGCAAAAGTTGGTACAGCGCCTCCCTGCATCCAAAGCTGCAGAAGGATTTGATTGTGAGATGCAAACCGGGGGAGAAGGATTATCTTCTGCAGTTGAATTTATTCAGACGCAAACTGACCCACTTGGAGTTTGGCAGTGGCAGCAGTCAAAAGATTTCAGAGAAAGCTCTGGTTTCTTTACTGAAAGAATGTACCAGTTTGGAACTCCTTGACTTGTCCGGGTGCAACAGCCTGTTCATATCTGGCCGTCTGTTGTCTAAAGACAGCGATGTGAAAATCTTGAGAGAAAATCTGTCCAGAATTCGTGTGCTGAAACTCAGTCATCTGAGACATATGACAGATGTCACATTTGAACGACTGGTGTCGGTGATGGAAAACCTGGAGCAGATCTCGTTGTCAGCTGTACATATGATCTTTGGCAATAACCTGTATGCAGTCAATCACTGCAGCCCAGCAATGCTACATTTTACAACCTTTCTCAAATTTGTTTATGGACGGACAGATAAACTGAAATCCATCGATCTCAGTTACACAGCTCTCAACGATGATGCCTTGGGGGTGTTGGCTAAGATCAGTAATTTGTCCTTAGATGTGGTTTCTCTGAAAGGTTGTTCACAGATGTCAGACAAAGGGCTGAAGCTACTGGTTGGACAGCAGCATGCGCTGAAATGCCTTGATGTTAGTGAATGTAAAGGAATTGGAAATGACAAAGATTTGTTTAGAATCCTGGCCAATAATTTACCACATCTTCACACGCTGATGATGAGAAACTGTGCCAAAGTAGGTCAGTGTGATGTCACAGCTTTGTCTGGGATTGGGTCTCTGCGCAATCTAGACATGGGAGAAGTTTTAAGACTCTTTGACAGAGATCTCGTCAAAGGTCTGTGCTGTCAAGGTCAACGACTGACAAGTCTGTACATGCCATCCTGCCCTGACATTGGTGACGAGTTCATCATTGAACTTTGTAAAAGCAGTACCAATCTAATTGACCTTGACCTCAGTTCTTGTATCAGGCTGACAGATGCAAGCCTCCATGCCATCACCAGAAACCTGACCTCTCTCCAGACCCTTCGCCTCAGCCGATGCAGAGAACTGTCTGACATTGGAGTTCTCGGATACATCCCAGACAAGGGTATTGTTCCAAGATTCACCTTTGATTTTGATCATGAAGGATGTCCTTGCTGTCGTGAACGAGACAGCACAGTATTTCGAAAGCCTGGAAACATCAGAGATCACCGGTCATGTGTAGCTAGAGCATACATCAGTCTACAGAATGGAGAACCTATGTTCATGCTTTCCAACTTGAAATCTTTGCTTGTACTTGATCTGTCCTTCTGTCCTCGCATCACCAACTTTGGCATCACTGAAGCTGTGAGATTCAAAGATCTACGTTCCCTGGCTGTTAGTGGGTTACCTAAACTCAATGACAGCGCTGTGACAGCCATTGCCCAGCACAACCCCAGCCTGGAGGAGGTCAGGATTACAAGCAACACCATGGTCACAGATGTAGGAGTGTATGAATTGGTCAGTCATTGTCTGCAGCTGAATATCCTAGATCTGAACCAGTGCCCTGCACTCACCGATGTCTGCCTGAAGATTATTGCTGCCAGCTGTAAGAAGATCAGTCGCCTGGATATTTCATTCAATAACTTGTCCATGAAGGCAGTTGGAGGCTTGCAGTCACAGCTGCCCAAGACAAAGGTTGTATTCAAGCCTCACTTTGATTAGATTAAACTTTAAGATATGCTAAATTGTTACACTTTACTAAACTTTGGACACATAGTTAAATGTTTCTGTATGATCCGTTTTTGAAATGTGATAATGTAATTGTCATATTCAAGTGAAAATAGATATTGAAAAAAAATGCATATACGTTAATGGTCTATAAACTTTGCGACCAAATATGTCCACATGTTTAAGTGTGATTACACTTTGAAAAACATTTATGTGTTTTGCGTTTGTACATTTAAACTGTCTCTGTCATGAAGCCCATACTGTTTGTGAACAACTATATTCAGTGTGCACTAAGCAACACACCTGGTCTGGTATTTGGCCTGAGCATAGTATGGAAATCTGGCAAGATATTTTTATCGAACAACACAGTAAATATCTTAAATAAGGGGTTTATGTTCCCTCTTTGTAAACATACAGCACCAGGATACAACCTGGTAAAGTATCTCAGGAAGACAGGGCAGAAACTGCAGGAATTCCATTACTGGCAGCCTTCGATTTAGAGACAGCACTGGATGATGAGGATTATAGTAGACTATTGTACTTCCTGGAAAATAAGCCCTGCTCCCAAAATTAAGCCCTAGTTAAGGTCATTAGATGGAATGAGAGACTTGATGTCAAACGGTCAGTCGGAATACGGACACCGTTGGTGCGCACTTGTTAATGAACGGATGTGGTTTATGTTTCAAGGTAGTCACTTGTGTGAAATAAAGAAGAAGAATTTTGGTCGCCAGTAATTTCTCTCCTCTTTTGTCAGTGCCATCAATGTTATGTCTCACAATTTTTGTTCGTGAAAAAAAAAAAAGACATCCCCCAAAAATAAGCCCTAGTACATTTTGTAAGCAAAAATTAATATAAGGCCCAGTCTTATTTTTGGGGAAACGGTACTAAAACTAAACTATATAGTTAACTGGTAATGCAGATTTCTTAAACTAATTTGTGTATGTTCATACTCAAATATCTCACTGTAATTCTAGTATGTTTAATGTGAGATGTAGATGTTTTATGTTTACACATATAATTAGTATATTTCATCAGTGTGTACATTTACAGTTATTGTGTACATTAATTGTTAGACTTCTAGTTTCTCCCAGCTCAGAACACAATATTTTTATCACAAATCTGTATCTGTAACAAGAGGTAATGAGCGTAAATTAACTTTGGATCTTTATATATGCTTATATCTTACTTGCATATCTAATATATTTGATCCATTTTAAAAACTTTTTGTGAATAATTTAATTGAAGAAATGGGATTTGAGGAAAAACAAATGGGGGAAGTTATCCTAACAAGTATTTCAGCCAAATGTCATACTGCCACACTGTAAACAAGTTGAATTCACACAATATGTTAAATTGGTCAAAAGTTGAATACAGTGGTACCTCAGAATTCCAACATAATCCAAGACTTCCAAAGACAGTTTCTCCCATTCACAATAATGGAAACTAAATTAATCTATTCCAGGGTCCAACAACAATTTTAAATGTATTTTCCTAAGTGTGGGAGCCGCCATAGTGTAGCGGCTAGACACTGGCTCGCCCAGGTTCAGAAGGTGATGAGTTCAGATCCTGACAGATCCAGACTTTAAAAAAAAATTACTGTGGCTGCCAGGTTGACCCAGCCTTGAGTGGGTACCAGGTACAATCCTGGGAAGTAAAGGTGGCCGGCGTAATGCTGACCCATCACCCACCAAGTGCTGATTGGTCTTAACATCTTAAAAGGTAGGTCTAGCCCTGTATGCCTGAAGGCGTTGAAAAGGGGTCCTTTACTTTCACTTTACTATTTTTTCTACTGAGACTTACAGCCGAATTCGTGGGTTCGCTCCCTGGCAGAGCTGGACTTTTTTCAAAAATGACCTGGCTCCAAGGTCGACCCAGCCTTGAGTGGGTACCAGGTGCAGTCCCGGGAAGTAAAGGCGGCCAGCATGATGCTGACCACATCACCCATCTTGTGCCGATTGGTCTATAAAAATTTAGGTCTAGCCCTATACGCTTAAAGGCGTGGAAAAGGGAGCTTTACTTTTACTTTTTTTACAGGACAATTTGAATTGCTTGGCTTTACCAAAAACCATTGGGGTCATAAGGGGAAACCCCCCCCCCCCCCTCCATTCTATTTTTAGTTACTATAATCACATCCTGGCCTCCTAAATACTACACAAGCACACAAGGAACCAATGATATTAAAGTAGGCCTTTCAAGAGCAGGTCCCTGTGGAAATGACCAGACATCAGCATTTACGGGGCTGTGTTTGAGCTGGAAATGACTATATTTAGCATTCTCAGGGAGAAAGGATTAAGAGCTTTCACCGGTCAATCAGTTCTTTGTAGAAATTTATCAGGGAGTTTGAAACTTAATGTAAATTTAGTCTTATGTGGTAGCCAGGAAAATTAACCATTTATATTGTAAATCAAAATGTTCATGGGAAGTAGTTTTAGTAATTGTATTTGAATGTATAGAGATTGATGTGGCTGGCGGTGTGCCATTATTTTACATGAAATTGTTTAAGTAATTTATAAACTTTGATATTTATGTTTGTGTTAGTAATTATCTGACTGAGAAATTGAAACATTAAGCAGACACACATTATTAATGTAATCAATATATTTACATGTTTGTAAGTAAACATTTAACTGTAACTTGGTGGCTACATGTACGCCTGCCGACCTAGATGTCTTAGGGGTCAAATCTGCATCATGGTGGATATTTGACCTTGGCTCCCAGGTCAACCTAGCCTAAACTGGGTATTAGGTAATATCTTGTGAAGTATGGGCAGCTTTGGTTATATTGACCACATCACCTGTTAAGTGTCTATGGTGTATACAAATATACTTCCTGTGTAGGTTGCAGGGCCTGCCTCATTTGTTGGAACAAAGAATAGACCCACTGTCTTCCTAATAGGCATGTCCTACAAGGCAACTTATTGTGGGGTTTTTCTTTGAAGTCAGAGTGCATCTGTCTGCGAGGTGAGGACGCACCAGTATGCATACAAATAAGCCAGATCTGTAAAATGGATGCACACGTAAAACTCAAGTTCAGGAACATGATAAAAGTCCAGAAATGAACAAACAACCAGAATTTTCCACTGGAGTTTTCAGTCGGTGAACACTTAGAAGAAGATAGTACAAGCTGACGTTAAAAAATCCAGCATAATTTGGTTGCTTCAGATTTTTAGCACTGATATCAGAGTACATTTTAGAATGTACCACATTGGCCGTCGCTGTTTTCTGGAGATGCCATTTTTATTTTGATGGAGCTCTACTCCAGAATCAGCTGTTGGGTGGTGCTGTCAGTAATTCATGCTTATTCCGTCTCACTTGATCCTTTATTTGCTGCAGTATAGCAGTTGCTGAACATTATTTGCTTTTAATTTAGGATTTTATTTTTATTTTCCTTTTTTTTTAATGGGACAGGTAGGCATTTTGTGTTAAATATATCAAGCATTAAAAAAAAACCCAGAACATAACAAATCTGGCATTTTCACAGATCCAACACTCCTCAGGTTCGGTGGCTGCCATATTTGTAATGTCAGCCGCTACACAAATATGAAGTTTTATCACCGGGTACATAAATATGAAGTTTTATCACTGGGTATACAACCTCAGCATAGAAAATAGTCCTTTTACAATATTCTTAATTTACCTTTTGCATGAACAGTCGCCCCTCAATTCTTTTCCTTTCCATACAGCATGTGACTGATGATTTCAACTTATCATTTTTATATTTACTATTGTGTAGTTTTATACATAGATATAGATATAATATATTCCTTAACCATTAACACAGAGTAATCATTTATTAGTAGTTTTCCAAATCTTATATTTTATATGTGCACATATGGTATAGATCGTCAAATATTGAATTAGTTTCAGTTTTAGAGTAATCCCCAAATTGTTTTGGATAGCCAAAAAACTGCAGAAAAAATATTTGATCCAATCAGAAATATAAATGATTGGTAGAACAAGTGCAAGAACCAACTTGACATCCTTAGCAAAAGTAATGTTACCAGAATAATGCAGAATACACATTGGACAGATAACAGTATTTGGAATGTGTTCAAATCAATTCCTGTAGACTTTGACTTTCAATAAATGAAACGAGGCCAGCATTTTGTTTTTGCCATTTTCCAGCATTCAAGATGGGAGGTCAGTTTTATGGTTATAAACATTTTGTCTAGGTTATAGTTTGAAATTTTTTTTTACAGCCATTATTTGTTTTTGGTTAGAAGCGACCTTTGAACTTTAACAAAAATCTTCTTCTTCTGTTCTTCTCTACTCCTGGAATGCCTCGCCGTATCAGGGCAGGAAGAGATCTCTTGAACAGGCCCTTCTGTTTGCTTCATATCAAGTACTTTCAGTGCCTCTGATATTTCTGTGGTCCATCTTCTGCATGGTCAACCTCCTGCTCTATTACCGCTGTATCTGTATAACATTGCTCTCTGTGATGCCCTGTCTGATGCCAATCTTGATACATGGCCATACCATTTAATTTGTTATCTACCTGATATCATCGTTCCTAAGTCGATCTTTCCTCGTTACACCTAGCCTTGTACGTAAACATTTCATTTCTGTCGTGACTTTTTTCTTTTGTCTGGCATGATGTCTCTGCTCTTGAACATATCACCAAGAAATGCAATCAGGGAGGACTGACAGCTGATGCTTCTTTTAGTTTGACCCTGACCTCCTTTAGGACTGAAGATCAACAAAGACTGCAAATCTGTTACTGTTGGCAGTCAGCTATGGTCACTAGTGGTGACAGCTTTATTTGTTAGATAGACAGATGGCATCATCAATTATTTCTTATACAGTTTTTCCTTACAAAAAATATAGTCCCAATACGAAATATATAGTGTGTTTTCTTGACACATAAATAGGGTTTTGTGTTACTTTTCACTTTACTTTTAATTGTAAAATTTGCACTGTTCCTGAATTACTGGACCCTTTTTATGTGTACACTAATGTTGTTTTATTGTTTCTACTGTGATACTAATAATTTTGCTGTGATACTTACGTACAATAAATGGTGTTAATAATATCCCTTATACAAAAAAGGGACAAACCGTGTAAATAATGTGTACTCAAGTAAAATTATGTGGCATTCCATTTAATTATTCTGAAATTCCCTGTGTAGGTTCCCGTGCTCCAACAAAAACAAAAACTGACCCACTGCCTCCACAACAAGCATGTCATAGGAGTTGACTAATTGGACGCTTCTTTCGAAGTCACAGTGCATTTGCCTGAGCGGCAAGGAACAACCAACTGCACCACACAAATTAGCCAGTAAAATGGATGTACAGGCAAAACTGGCAAACTCAGGCCCTGGCACAATGCCAAAGCCCAAATGGACGAACAACCAGGACCTTCCGCTGAAGCTGACAGCCGGTGAACAAAGAAGCAGAAAAAGAATTATTCTCAAATTATGCCAGGTTCCTTCTGGGTTCAGAATCATCATAAACCAGTCAGTGGTATTACAACCATCATCACACGAGTACTGAACAGTTAAGTGAAAACTGTTCTCATGTATGGCAATCAATCCTGGAATGTGAATGAACAAGCTGGGAAAGTTTTGTATGTCAGTCATGGAGATCTGGTATCTATGTTGTGAATATCTTGGACTGCCAAAGTAACTAACAATTTCATGGACACGGCTGCTGATAAGAAGGCAACAAAGTGTTATTTCCTAGTGTGACAAGAAGAGAAGTGCTGGCAAATATGTGAACTGAATGATAATGGCAGCAGAGGTAGACCCAGAGAAACGATAAATACTCTAAAACAGGGCAAACAGCAGCGGTTCTCAACCTGTGGGTCGAATGCCCTTTCACAAGGCTCACCTAAGACCATAGGAAAATACATATTGATTTAAGTTATGAACAGCTATGAAAATAAATATGGTGGAGGGTGGGGGGGGGGGGGGGGGGGGCACCACAACATGAGGAACTGTATTAAAGGGTTGAGAAGGAAGGTTGAAAACCACTGGCATAGAGGAATATTATCAATAACACTGATCTAGATTATTAATTATCAGGACGCCTGGAGAGGCATGAATGCCAACACCATCTGGGACATGATGATGATGATCATATAACAGATCCTGTGTAGAGGATTATTCCTGTCCTATCCCTCTATGAGCATTGCTGAGCTTTTGCTAGCTCTCCATTTGCCTCCACAGAGGGAGTGTCTGTTTTTTTCCATGAGCATTTTATTGTCAACTTTTGAGCTCAGTTCCAGAGGCAATCAATGGACTAGAGGTTAGGAAACAGCATTTTTAGAGAAAATAGACATCAGAACAGGTGTTTACTGTTGGAGACAAAAGTAAGCAGAGGGAATCAATGGACTAGAGGTTAGGAAACAGCATTTGTAGAGAAAATGGACATCAAAACAGGTGTTTACTGTTGGAGACACAAGTAGGCAGCGTATCAAATTATTGAGTATTCAAAATATGAATATGTGAAATGCATTATTTTAAAACTGCTTTTTGTGTTTCTACAGCTACAGTTATGTCTAAGTTAGTGTGTTGAAGGTTACAATGATAAAGCTTGTAACAAATTGGTTTCTCTTTGTTGTTTGGCATTCCGGTTCTAAACCTGTATTGAAAAATAAATACTGTTTTGTGCACACAAAATAATCTTTTGTTGAAATAAATAGGTTAGCATGTTGTGTTTTGAGGTTGTGTTGAGTGATTAATCAATATTCGTTGTTCTGTTTTTATGTTTTAATGACATTTGCCTTGAGAGTTCTTCTTGGTGGAAGATTACAAGCCATTGGCCCAAGCAGGCAACTTGTAGTGTACAGGCTAATGTTTAAAAAAAAAAAAAAAAAGAAGAATTTGGCCTGTGATGTGTGAGTTGTTCTGACTTCTCCCCCACACTGAGTGTGCCAGGATGGATGACACAGATGAACAATTTGTAATTAGTGGAGAACTGGCTACCAGCTTGGTGCAGACGATTGAACTGGTAGCAGAGTGGAAGGTGGCACCAAACATGGAGCTAATAGCAACACTGGCTGAGGTTTACTGGTTGGTAAGCTGATCATCAAAAGTGTTCTTGTTTGTAGCCAGTGGGACCTGTTCCATACCCATTTTCCTAATCCAAACACAATGATTGGGAAGATTCATCAGATGTTTCACCACTGACTAAACCGTCTCAGGGATTTCATCAAAGTGTCATAGGAACAGTGGTGATTTCATCATGTCAGAAGAGTCCAGAATTTCATACATATATGCGACTGTCAGTCATTTTCATCATGAACAAGTGATGACCTTGAATTTAGCAACATCTGACTCCAAAGAGACACAATACTGCTATGACAAGAATCTCTGTGACTCCAAAGAGTCACAACACTGCTGTGACAAAAATCTCTCTGACTCCAAAGAGACACAACACTGCTGTGAGAATAATCCCTGTGACTCCAAAGAGACACAACACTGCTGTGACAAGAATCTCTGTGACTCCACAGAGACACAACACTGTTATGACAAGAATCTCTGTGACTCCAAAGAGACACAACACCGCTGTGACAATAATCTCTGTGACTGGTTGCACTAGAAGACTAGGGTGTATCTGTTCTTGATGACCTACATATCAAGTCCCCCTCTTCATTGACCGTAGAGTCACTTTGGGCAATGGACCCATTTTCCTCCAAGTGAAGATTTGTGATCAGTGGCTGGTTGTTGTTTCTGTGTGAGCGACTGTGAACAAGACTTGGTCTACCTGCCCTGAAAGGGGAAATCGTGAGCATTAATTTCACACTTACTGTGTGACCTTCAGTTTTTGCATACAAGTGGTTGGCTTATTTTAACCCTTTCGCTCCTGCATTGCTAAAAATGATAGGTCATGACCCCACTGGAATAATTTTACAGTCACTAATAAATTCGTTAATGTATTTATGTAGACTGTTTTAACGTTTTGTCGAAATATGTAAAGATATATGAAGAAAGTCAGGAACACAAACAGGGTAAAGCATTAAGTGGAATACATTCCCCTGGGGCCTGGGAGACAAAAAACATGTATTGCCATGACTTCTATCGTGGAGTCTATGAGAACATTTGCCTTCCACTAGACTTTAAAAAAACTATTTTGCTTAAAATAAAACCATCTTAGAAGCTATTTTTAGTTAATGCAGTCATGTCATGACCTCCTAATCGTTTGCACAGGTGTGAAAACAGGCGTTAGCATTAAAACTTGGCATCTCATAAACAGGTCACTATAGGCAAGTCGGAAAGTGATATTTACGGGGAACTGGAAACAATCAGAAGTGTTTGGTTTTGCAGCTTTACCTGGCAAATGGGTTAACAGTCAAAGAATTGTCTTCACACTGTCTTTTACCACATTTTAGGGCAGTCTAGGACAGAAGGTCTTAGGAGGGGACTTAGGGCCACAGTGATAGTGCAGTCGCTACAGGCTGAGCAGGTAAGGATTTGTTTCCTTCGACAGAAACAAATCACCTACCTTGCAGAAAATTTGAACCTGGGTCTCCAGAATAAAAGACCATCATTCTTAACCACTGGGCCATGCCACTACCCATCATTTAAAGTAATTGTCATTATTAGAGCTGCCATTGAGCACTTGTAATTTTTCTCAAACTCTTTACACAAACTGATTCCTATTACATAGCCACACAAGTCAAGCTCTGATATCTGATCTAGAGCCACGAGAGTAGTCTTATGGTGTCAAAAGGTTGTAGTGTCTAACCTTCATATTTATACACTAAGCTACCGCTTTATTAGGTTAGGTAATTGGTTCTTTTCCTCATGGCTTTTTCTCCACATGCACATGCATGCCCACACAAACATAAATTTGGAACCTGTGTGAGATGGTTGAGTAGACACCTGAGTTGTACTGTTTGGGGCGGGGGGGACAACAGTCTATTAAAAGTGAGGACTGAACCCTGTAATGCTTCAATAGAATATTAGAGCACGATGCCCTGAAATGTCCACGTCTGACCTAAAAGTAGATACAGATACACAGATATTGGTAGTCTCATGGCAGATACTGCTGTCAGTGAAGTCTGTAGCCTTCATATATTCTTGGTCAGTGTGTAATGTGGTGGGGTAGCTAGTTCCTTTCCCCATCTTCTCAAACAACCCCCCAAAAATCCAGAAAACTTTTCGCTACTTAATTTATTAGGCTGTATCAACCCTCCTGATCACACAAACAAATCGTCCCATTGCTGTGGATTGAATCCAAACCTCCCTGTGTGGGTTCAGAGGCCCCATTTGGAGGGGGGGGGGTAGACCCATCACTCAACGATAAATATGTCAGTTGACCAATCAGGGGTGTTTCCTTCAAAGTCAGAGTGCATCTACAAGCATTCATTAACTACGCAAAATAAAGGGAATTAAATGGTATGATAAAATCACTAATAAAGAGTTCTGGGAAAGAACTAAGCAAGTTCCAGTGGACCAAGAGAGAAGAAAAGATGCTGGCAATGGATAGGACACACTGAGAAAACTGGATAATAATATTACTAGAATGTCTTTGCACTGGAACCCACGAAGGCATAGGAATATGAGAAGACCAAAAAACACATGGAGAAGAGAGCTAGAGATTGAAGTTGAGAGCTGCATGTGATTGCAAAGGATTGAACGACTTGGCATGAATTGGTTGAGGGCCTATGCTCCATTCTGGAATAGAAAGGCAGAAGAAGAATTAAGGGTGTTTCCTTCGAAGTTAGAGTGCATCTACCTGAGAGCGAGGAGCCAAATCTGTAAATCAATGTGCATGCAAAACTCAAGGTCTGGAACAATACTAAGTCCAGAAGTGGACAAACAACCAAAACTTTCCACCAGAGTTTACAGCTGGTGAATGCAAAGTAGAAGAAGGAAAACTCAAACTACTGGCTGGACAAGGAAATGTACTAACAATTATTTTACCATGGCTTCTCTATGTGCACTATATAGCAAAATGATCATTATGACCCCACTTACATCCACAAGTAAGCACTGCAGGGTGGCCTTGTGTATAATTTGCCTCTTGTCTTCTCATGTTGTATCTGCCAGTTATGCGAACTGTTGTTAGCGTTGTTATGTTCTAATTGCATTGTCACTGAATATTAACTTCATTTGATGATCAAACAAAACTGCAAATCAGATGGTTTGGTCATGTAACCAGACTATCACAAGATAGTGCCCCACCTTTGGTGCTTAGAAAACTATGACCAAGCAACAGATTGCCATTTCGTGCAATGAAGGCAGTGAAAACCACAATGTAAGAAGCATACAGCAGAGCTCTCACCATCATCAACAGCCTGAAGCTGAAAGGCAAAAGAAGAAGAAGAAGATTTAGGACAACTTTTCAATGTCTTAACCTCTTTTATGAGATCATCTTTGCTGCTACTGGCTGCATTATAATGAGGTAATTACTTACCCAATTGGAGGCAGCCCAACTTTCCTGTAATGCTGCCAGCCCTCTGTGAATGTAGTGGCCAGGCGCAGACGTTTTGTGTAAAACTTGATCACTTTCATTAGGTACGGATCATTGCGGCATCTGTAGAAATAAATAAGCTGCTGATTCAATGTAGCTTTTGAAAAATAAAATATAGCTAGTTTTTTTTTTGCTTCCTCTGCCCGCCTTGCCAATTGTTTCTGATGTCAGGCTTATTTGTGTATTCCACTCTTTTTACAACAGAGAAAGACAATATGGAAAGCTTAAACAGCTGAGAGAACTGAAGGGTTTGAGAAGGTGAGGACGCCGAAAAGAAACCCTGAAATTAAAATTGATGTCAGAGGCCAAAGCTGCTGGACGATTCCATCCATGATATTTAACTGACTGGAATGGAGGAATATACTGTGAGCCCTACGTGACATATAACGGCACTACAAAGTGCATCTATAAGCATTCATTAACTGGTGCCTGCGCAAAATAAAAGGAATTAAATGGTATGATAAAATCACTAATTTAGAGTTCTGGGAAAGAGCTAAGCAAGTTCCAGTGGACCAAGAAAGAAGAAAAGACGCTGACGTTGGATAGGACACACTAAGAAAACTGGAGAACAACATTGATGAAACAACTCAGCAACATTAATATCAATGACAAAACTTTCATTCAAATATCAGATGGCAGAAATAACTGGAGAGTGATGACTAACCCTATTGGACTGGAGTAGGCACTTGAAAAAAATTAAGACAGTCATGTTGAGTCGGTCTATTCTGTGAACTCTGAACTTCTACCCACCTGTGTAGGATAAGTCTCTCTGCTTTGTGGTCATGTGACAAGTATCCCAGAGCGATGGCAGCATTACCTCTGACCTGCTCAGACTTGGACAGCAACAGTGTACTTAGGTAGTCAACCGCATTGACAGCAACGATGGCTGCTGGCACACCTATAAGAAATTGAAATGTCTGTGAATAAAAATAAGTTAGCGATTTTGGTACTCAATCTTTAGTGGTAAATATGAGATAAATCTTTGTCAATGAATCAAGGCTGTACCTGTTTGGGTTCTGGAACCACATATGGGGCTGCGAGAGAACAGACCCACTGACACCCCCCCCCCCTCCCCGCACCCCAACAAAAAAGTTACAGGAAGTTGTAGAACCAACACCAGCATTTTTTGGCTGTTGTGGTTTTTCTAGGCAAATTTACATCCAGTAGTTCACCATTGCTTTCTGGATGACCGGCTGTCAATACCAACACATGGTGCAAGGTCTGCAGCTGCGAACTAACCCGACACCCGGGCACCCCGGCATTACGAAGTGTGTTCATAACACCTAAGCCACAGATGCCAACAAGCAAAGGTGAGTAATTTTGGTTAAAAAGCACAGATATCACATCCCAGCTGTAAACCACAACAGTACAATACTACATTCCAAGCACTCTTTTAAGCAAAAGGAGAAAAATCAAAGCTTTGTGGTTGATCGACCGGCTGGTTAACTGACCGACTTGACGATTGGCTGGTTCATGGATTGGCTGGTTCATGGATTGGCTAGTCGATTGGTTGGTTTGTGAATCCAATGGAATACTGAGTGTAAACTCTCAAACCTGAAGAACTAGTGGCCAGGTCAACTAAGCACTGGTGTATATAATTTCTTCCCAAACTCATACCAAAGTATTATTGTCATGGGGACTGTGTAACAGAGCTCTCCTTCCCATCTTGAAGCTCAGGGTACTGGGACTCCACATCTCAATGAGGCACACTTTGGTTTAACCAAATCATGATTCAGCCAGCATATTCAAACACAGTGATTGATGTTAGTCTTAGGCTGATCACGTTTCTTACGCAGACTTAAGTCAATGCAACCAGACTCCAACCCAGTTTGCAGATGAAGTTAGAGGCAACGAAGAAAGGCTATTGTAAGGCTGCCTATCTGACTACTCAGGAAACATCAGATGCAAAATCCAACCAATCCTACACTGGGCTCAAAACTGTGAGTTGGTTTAGAGCAGTTATTCACAAACTGTGCCCTGCGGCGCTGTCAGGGGCCAGTTCGGCTATGTGATGAGTAGGTGTGATGATAGTGATTCATCACTATGAACGAGTTTACCCTATGTCCCACTAGTAACACGAGTTACAGCGTGTCAGAGATGAACGCTGAAGAGGAACAAACGCCTTGGACAGAGCTTGTTTAGGGAAGACGTGTAGTGGGACACTGGACTGGACAGTTGTGGGACTGCGACGGTAAACGTATCTTAGATTAGTGACTTTCTTCTTCTTCTTCGATCCTTTTGTCAGAAAACTTATATCAGGAGGCGGGTAGCCTTTATGAAAGCTATCGTGCAATCCATATCCTCTCGTGTACCATACAGTTTTGTCTTCAGTGTGGTTGGAACAGGCCAAATTGCGTCTCTGTTGTCAGCATACAGTTGATAGTGTTGGAGCACATGCTCAGCATTTTCGGGTGCCACGCTGCAGGGACACATCTCCGTATTTCCTATACCGAAAAATTTGAACATATGTTGACGAAATCTGTTGTGCCCTGTCCTTAGTCTGAATATAATACACTGTCCCTCTCTAGAGAGGCGATGAAGTGAGTCTTGGGGAGAAAATCTGGTGTGGGTATCCAGCCACCTTTCTTGGATACTAGATTGTATTAGTGTTTTCATCTCTTGGTGGGTTAAGTCGCTATTTGGTTGTACCATGTCACTGCCGCTTCTGGCCAATCTGTCCGCTATTTCATTGCCTTCCAAGCCACAGTGACCTGGAATCCACTGCAGTACGCTGTTGCGTCAAGTCTACAAACTGAGTGTCTTTTGGGTTAACAATTGCTTGTAGAACTGACATAGCATCAGTCAGAAAGACCACTCTGCTATATTTGCTGTGCTGTTGTTTATTCAGGAAAGAACATGCCGCTAGAAGTGCTTCTGCCTCTGTTCTGTAATTGGAGGAATATGAACCTGTTGGTACAGCCCGGTTGATTTTTACACCTTTTGGGCATTCTATGAATATTCCTCCTCCTCCATCTCTTACTGCTCTCTTGGCTGAACCATCTGTATACACTCGAATCCAACTCTGGTGTGGATAAAGTCTATTGATCTCTCCTTCTGTAGTTGATTTCATATCAGTGCTGCTCATTGATGATTTGGTGCAGTAACATGGAGCCAAGGGATGGTCAGTCCTGGTGCAGTAACATGGAGCCAAGGGATGGTCAGTCCAGGTGCTGTGCCGTGGTGCCAGTTTGAACTCAGTAGCGCCAGATCATCGGCATACAAGATTAGTGACGGTTAGATAGAATAGTATTTGCGGTTAGTATTTGAGATATGTTGTTTCCATACAACGTTTTGACGAGATAGTGCAGTGTTAATGTTTCTTGTATAGTAGACGTTCCACGCAATATCTGTTAAGTAGGTAGTTAATGCTTAACACGCATTGTTGATGGCGTAAACACTGCCCACTCATACTTGGCTCATTCACCTTACGTGTGTCACTGAGTCCCGCATGGCATGGACGGCGGCTTAGTTAGCGCTCTACGACAGTGAGGTGGAATCGTGTGCTTGGTATATCCATGGAAACGGCTCGGGTTGATTAGTGAATATAAAAGCTATCAACGCTGGCGTTTCGGATAAGGACGGCCACCTTTGTTGAGGTGCTATTAAGTTGAATTGTTCTTTGTACATTAAAGATTATGTGTGTACTCCGTAGGTGTGTGTGTTTAAAGTGTGTCCTAGGGTAGTTAAGTCTGTTAGCTGTTAGTCTGTTAATGAGCCATAGGAATTAGATTAATAAAGTAGGTCCCTGACAGGCTCCCTGGGGAGCCGCGACCTCATCACAGCAACACCGCAAAATATTTGAAGATATACAAGTTTTTATTTTTTATATTATCTCTTACATACAAATAGTCATACTTTTACTTTCCTTATGGCGCCGTGGACAATTTTCATTGAAAAAGGCGCCGCGTTTAAGAAAAGTTTGGGAAACTGGTTTAGAAATTTGGTCCTTAACACTTTTAGCTGGTGCCCCATTAAATACATGCAAGGCCGGATTTAGACTTGGTAAGTCCCTAGCTATATAAAGCCATGAGACCTCTATTTTTTTAAATGTCACCAGCAGATCTAGAGATCTAAAATACTGTCTTAAAAACCAACTCTAAAATATATTGATGTTTGAAATATACTGGCGTTTAATTTACAGTAAACGAAATAATAAAACCTGTCTGGTCATTCATAGAATTATGTTATGCAGCACTCCAAAAAGCTGTATTGAAAAAAAAACTGCATCTGTGGTTTTGGGGAAGGGCGGAGGGAGATTGTGAGTCCTTAAGCTACAGCTTAGTTGGCTTATGCCTAAATCCAGCAGTAATAGTAAGGCCCCCTAAATAAAATTCAAAAATTGAAAAAATAATAACTACAAGAAGAAGGACAATAAGAAAACCTAAGCACTATTAACAAGTACTTGGAGAAAAACACATATAAATCAAAGTGTCAAATTACACAATGTACTTGCCTTTGTGTTTTATATTGTTTAAACAAATATTTTGGGAATAATGAAACTAAAAAAAAAATAAATTATTTGTCACATTATTACACTCACAAAAATGCACTCAATTTTAAAATTGCTTGCCCCCCCCCCCCCACCCCCCGAAACCAGAGCGCATCTATAGGTTGAAGTAGCTTGAAAGCTGCACCATTTGCTTTTTTGGAAAGTTGAAAGATAAAAACAGACGTAAGACAAAAGAAGTAGAAGTGGCAGCAACACTAAAATCACCTGCTCTTGTGTGACTGAGGCGTGCCACACAGTCTGCGGCAAGTGCCAGAATCTCCTCAGATTTGGAATCTTTGAGTAAGTCAACCAGCAGTTTGATGCCGGTAGCTGAAGACAATGCTTGTATTTCATCAGAAATGACTCTAGACAGGATCACCACCTGCAACATTGATATATCTATGTAATGGTGATTTCCTAGAAGTGAACAGTGCCTAAATGTATCATAAAAGTCAAAGGCGTTATTTTAGGACAAGTAGAGACATTTTTTTAGTCAGAGGGAAACTGGAACATGTTGTGATCACTGGAAAGATCTGTGGAAAGACAGAGGAAGACAGCGTGAGAAGATGTGGAAAGACAGAGGAAGACAGCGTGAGAAGATGTGGAAAGACAGAGGAAGACAGCGTGAGAAGATTCTTGACAGTCTTTTGTCATGGCATGGAGGAATGTCAACACACAAACTGATACACCCAGTTGCAGACCGCAGATTGTGGAGAAGAATTATTGCACCCCCCTCCCCCAATCGGCAAGGTACTTGATGATTATAGAAATTTAAGTATTTAGCCACAGGAATAACATCCGATGGTAAAATGTACCACAGAGATCAAGCACAGAATAGGACAGCCAGAGTGCCTTTTATGAAATGAACAATTTTGTGCAATAAATCCATGTCATTGGTGGTTATGAGAAGAATTCTCGCATGCTATACAGAGCCAGTTTTAACATAAGGCTGTGAATCCTGGACAATTAATAAACAAGCCGAACAATATCTTGAGGCCTCGGAGATGTCGTTAATCAGAAGAATCCTTAGATTTCTTGGACAGCTAAGAAGAGCAACCCAGATGTTTTGAAAGAAGCGAGTGCTAGAAGACAACTTATCACAAACATCAGAAAGAGATAGTCGTCGTTTTTTGGTCATGTTATGAGAAGAGGGAAACTGGAACATGTTGTGACCACAGGAAAGATCCATGGAAAAAATGGCAGAATGAGACAGAGCGAGAAGATTCTTGACGGCTTTTCTTCATGACATGGAGGGGTGTCAACACACAAACTGATACACACAGTTGCAGGTTGCAGATTGTGAAGAGGCATGATCGTCCACGTCAGTCAGCAAGGCACTTAATGATGATAATGATGTATACATATAAATATATATATATATATTTTGATACATGCTTCTGACACACACACACACACATGCACGCACGCACGCACGCACGTTCACACACACACACACACACACATATATATATATATATATATATATATATATATATATATATATATATATATATATACACACACACACACATACACACTTACTTAAAAAAAGACATCTATGATCAAAAAATTGTCTTAATGAACTCAAAGACAAACAAGAAGTGTACAGGGCCAGATTTGCCTGTTGTAGACAGGCTCAATGCAATTAAGTCTTTAGGTTAACACAGAAGACGAATAAAGCAAACAAATTAATCTTTTTGACTGAAATTCAAAATCATCTACAATTAACAATAGCTGCATGTTTTACCAGGGCAAACTCTAGTTTATGACCATACCTTTTTGTCTGCACAGCAAAATAGGCCAGGCAATAAACTGTGAAGTCTATTGTTTGTGCCTTTGCTCAAATTTACAAAGGGATCAGATTTACTGCAACAGATGTCTATAACCTACCTGATATGCAGCAAGGCATCTGTAAAACTCCTCAGCTGACTTCAGAAATGGAAGGAAACAATCCAAGCGGACTCCTCCTTGTATGGCAATCTCTCTCTGCTGATGTAGGCTGTTGTATGCGAAACATGCCAAGGCAGAGCCAGCCGTTAGTTGTACTAGTGGTTGACTGGAGTACAGCATCTTTAGTATTCTCACGTAGCTGAAGTCCAAGTTTTGATTTATTTCATCGAGAGTCTCTTTGAATCCTGTAAGAGCAGTTTTGGTAACAGTTAAATGATCATAGGTATGTTATGGTGGCATAGCAGTTAGTGCTACTCTTACCTATGAAGACAAAGGTCTGGGTTCAAGCCCCAGTAGGCAGGATTATTTTTGACCACCATGTATGGCTCTAGTGTTAACCTCATCTTCAATATAATGGGCACAATTTTCAAAATTCCAATGTCATTTTCTGGGAAACAATAGCAATAAAGACAGGATATATCTCAGGTCATTTTCTGGGAAACAATGGCAATAAAGACAGGATATATCTCAGGTCATTTTCTGGGAAACAATGGCAATAAAGATATAATATATCTCAGGTCATTTTCTTGGAAACAATGGCAATAAAGTTAGGGTATATCTTAAGTCATTTTCTGGGAAACAATGGCAATAAAGTTAGGGCATATGCTGGCGCATCAAATTCTGGATATATAAATACAGATACCAAGTTGAGGCTCATGGAAGGTGTATATTCAACATTGCTATAGGGAGCTGAAACACGATCTTGACAAAACAGATAAAGCATAAATATCTCATGTAAGTATTCAGAAAACTGTAGTTTTTGTGTGTGTAGACACTACTAGCAAACAAGATAGGAGAACAGGAAGAAAATTAGCAAGAAGAGGATGAAGAATAAGAAGCAGGAAAAGAGAAGTAGGAGATAAAGAAGAGAAGGATGATGGGAAAGGGGGAAAAGACTAACCTAATGAAACACTTGCTAGTGTGTAAGCTGCCTCTGCTCGAATGACTTCATTTGTTGAGTGGGCCAGCAGTGCTACAAGGATTGGAACTCCACCTGACTGCAGGACTGTCTGCTGGTTTTGTTCGTGAGGAATGTACCCTACTCCCAAACACAGGTACCTGTTGAAATGATTCAAGGTTGTACATTTCAACGCATGATAATAACTATTGCTGTAGACATCTATGAATGTCACCTTCCTCTCCCCACCCCTTACATGCAGTACAGTTCATGGCATTCTCTTCTCATGAATCCACCTCAGTACATGTATCTTTCATTTCCCACGTGCACACATCTTTACATCGTAGTAGAGGCAGACCTCAACATCCTGTCATCATCATCAATCAGCAGATCCTTTACAGAAGGTCGCTTTCATCGTGGCACACCTGAAAGTCTCTCTTTCTCTAGCTAATTCTCAGGCCCTATCTGCTTTCATAGTCAATGTATCTTCAATTTCTTCTATCCACATTCACAGAGGTCAGCCTCTACTTTATTTTCCGGAAAGTTGGCTCCCCTATCAGTTAGAAAACTACAACTGCATGGTCGAAGCAGCCAGAAGAGTACGAAGCAGGACCTTATATCTCCCTCAACACCCAAAGCAGTAAAAGAGGACGTAAAGAAGAAAAAAAACTGCAAAACCATAAACAAGTCTACAAAGAACTTGGTGTGAAATTCTTCTTCTTCTTCTTCTTCCTGTTCACCAGCTGTAAACTCCAGCACAAAGTTCTGGTTGTTCATCCACTCCTGCAGTTTGGTCTTGATGCAGAAATTGATTTTTTTTTTCTGTGTACATTCGTTTTACATATGTGACTTATTTGTATGCAGACTATTGGTTCCTCATCTCCCAGGCAGATACATTCTGACTCTGAAGGAAACACCTTTAATTAGTCGCCTCCTATGACTGGGGGAGCAGTGGGTCTATTCTTTGTTCTCCCAGAACCCACACAAGGAGGTGAGGGGACATTAAACACCTATGTTCCACTGGGAGATGACAGGCAGAAAAGGGAAAAAGGTCATATACCAAATACAGCTTGAGGCACTGGAAAGGATACTTTAATTTAATTTCTGCTGAGTTACCAAATTAATTCTTTTTTTAAATGATCATGAACAAACTAGGTGTGGCAACTGACAGAGAAATCTTGAAGGCAGCTAGGACCTAACTCACCTCAGAGCTCTAATGACACTTAGAACGATGTGCTCGTGGCTTGTCCTTATCAGCTGGACCAGAGGATGGACCCCGTTAGCTCTGGCGATAACCTCCTGTTGGCTGAGAGGTCCCTGAGCTAGAACACCCAATCCTTCCGACCCTATAAAGTGAAGCTCTTTTGATTTTGAGTTCACAAATTCTATCAAGATTTGAACACCAATGTCGTTAGCCATCTCCCGCTTTGTTTCACAGCTGTCTCCGGCCAAAGCCCAAAGAGCCATGGCAATTTTCTCTTGTAAAAACTCAGCCCTGCACATGAGATTCACAGAATGAATGTAACGTTACAAGTCAGAGTCACTGAAGTGCTGACAGCAAACAACAGTAGGGCTTTTTGTGTGGGGGTAAAAACAATTGCCACTGCTTACCATATAGTGTATATATATAAAAAAAATGTGCTGTTCCCCAGCACAGTGTATATTACAGTAATGCTGAAAAATGCCCTAAAAAGGTGCCCGTACTGTATACCACCAAAAGAAGAAATAAGCCCTGAGTAAAAGTAAAAAGTTCATGAAATGTAAACAAAGGCAAAGGGTTAGGTTGGTCGACTGGGTTGAAATGGGGGGGGGGGGGGGGGGGGGGGGGGGGGGGGGGTTATAACTGTGACTAGGTTATATGTGCGCTATCTAAATGACCTAGCATGGCACGCCACAAAGAACCATGGAAAGAACTCCTGCAGTCTTAATGTGATTAAAAGAGACAGACCAAAATACTGTCTTGACCGGCGATAACGTCGTCTGCCGGTGAGCCAATGGGCAACCCAATCGCTGGTAATATGTGATGATTAAACATTGTGGAGGATACACAAAGAGCTTAGACCTAACCGTGTACACTGCTGTATCGGTACTTCCTGACTAACACATCATCATCATCATCAGGTGCCTTGCCGACTGGCGTGGGCGATCATGCCTCTCCATAATCTGCGATCTCCTGCAGCATGTATCAGTTCGTGTGCCGACACACCTCCATGCCATGCAACAAGACTGACTAACACAGCAGCATGATAATCTGGGCATCAGTGGTGACATTGCCTTCCTGTCTCATATATGAAATCAGAAAAATTAAATGCACTCAGTGAGAGGTCATGTCAGTTAGGTCTTCTTCTTCTTCTGCGTTCAACATCAGTCATGCTAGTGAACATTTACAAGAAAGAGGAAAAGATGATGAGAAAATCTGAAGTAAAAAGCTCTTCTGCTGAAAAACAGGGGTTTAAAAAAAGGGGACTAAAAGCACATGTAGAATCTTCTCTTTCTTTGTTCACCTGCTGTAATCTCAGGTAGAAAGTCCTGGTTGTTTGCCCATTAGGACTTTGGGCTCTCCTTTAAATAACGGTCCCAAATGATCTACGCAGAAAGTTAACCCAAACAGAGCCTCACTCATATCTAAAATTCGCATTTCTTTTGCGGCGATTCAACGGTGTCAAAAGTAGGATTAATTGCGCACGACATTTTCGCGAACTGCAACGGATTTTTTAACGACGATTACACAGCGGCAAAAGTAGGATTAACTGCGGACGAAAAAAATTAGCGACGCGAGAATACTGCCGATAGCGCTATCCTACGGCAGGGCCCGAGTTATATGTAAGTTGCGGACCGCGATTCGCCTATAGTGCCACCTCAGAAAATATCCCCAGCGCCGCTACGTGCGGTGCAGAATGGGCTAAACTAGATGGCTAGGACTCACGAGCAGCAGCTACCGCAGCTCCTGCAGCTTCTTCCAATGTATTTGCTAGGAGGTGGCACTGTAGTCGCCGAAAAAAGAAGTTCACAATTTACACGTTACTGACCCCAGGTCAGCGTACATTTCCGGCCTTGACATTTTGGGAGCGTCATTCGGAGGATAGCCTGCAATTGCATTCAGATGCCTGGGAGACCGCCAGCTCCGACACACTTTTGCGATAGCGTTCTTACGGTAGAACACTGGCACTATTTGCAACGTCTGTGCCACAATTTTCACGTATAAAGGATTTCAATATGAGTAAGTGTGGCGCGGTGATTTAGGTCACAGGCGTGAGGGGAAGTTAAGTCCAACATGATGTGTATAAGGAGATACTCCGTACGTCACTCGGGCACCAGTCCTTCACTGTTCTGGTTTTACGGAACCTCACGCAAGACCCCTGCAGCACGTCCTCGTCGTGCGCCACGGATAATGTCTCAAACGAGCATTAACAGAGCTGTCAGGGGATTTCGGAGTTTGACGGCCCCCAGAGGTGATGTGTCCTTGTGGCTCTCATTAGCCCGCCCCCAAACGCTTGGGTGAAAAAGGTTATCAAAACTCATTAGGAACATGAGTATGCTTGCCAAACGTACAGCTAAAAATCACAACCCTTGGTTAAAAGAATGCGGAGGGAAGAGAACATTGTTTCCTGTACATCCTCTGTTAACCCTCAGTGTCGTCGTCACCGCGCTGAGGTACACCACAACAGCAACCATCTCTAGGCTGGCCATCCATGTACATCCTAGGTTAACCCTCAGTGTCGTCGTCACCGCGCCAAGGTACACCACAACAGCAACCATCCAGAGGATGGCCATCCATGTACATCCTCGGTTAACCCTTAGTGTCATCGTCACCGCGCTGAGGTACACCAAAACAGCAACCATACATAGGCTGGCCAGCCATGTACATCCTCGTGTAACCCGTAGTGTCGTCGTCACCGCGCTGAGGTACACCACAACAGCAACAGCCCATTGGCAGGCTAAGCCTACATGTCCGACAAAACTAGATCCTACGCACACAAGTGAGCTCAAAATCTGACCTCCACAATTTGTACTGAACGGAAAAAGACCAAATGTCCACACCCAAAGACCCCACTCGCCCAAGTGTTGGGAACAAACTGATTACGCTATGCCTGACGCAGGATGTAAAATTCTGTCGGGCTAACGGCTCGTCAAAGAAATCTAACGTGCGAAGAAAAAAGAATGTGCCTATTCGTGTGGTCACAAAAGTCAAAAATCCACAGGCTGCTCCCCGCTGACTTCCAGAGGGCGCAGCTCTTGTCAAGCGGGAAGCCTGATACGGTTGTGAGGTTAAGCAGGCATGTGCAGGACGTGACGATTCCTTGATGAGCCCAGAACCAGAGCGCCATGTGCCGGCTCTGCATACATGGAAGCCTCCTTGGATGGCGGGGAATGCCCATGATCTGGCCCTGCCTTCCCTTGAGGGCTAACTGTTCCACAGGGGGCTGCCCCAAAGGGGTACTCCGGGGGCAATACCTGTGGAGAAGGAGACAAAGTGGACTCCACACAAATCAGGCAACGTCTTGACCCACACAAAACAATGGCCACAGTCAACCTAGAAATAGGCCTGACGTCTTCCTTCGAAGTCGGAGTACAGCTGCCCATGAGGCAGGGAACATTAAAACGGTTGTTCACGCAAAAATCAGGTCCGGGTGAAAGCCAAAAGTCCAAGCGGACGATTAACCGTGACCTTCCGCCGGAATTCACAGCCGGTGAACGCCAAAAAAAAAAAATATATATATCGGTTAGTAGTAGAATTCCCCCATTTTCCTCATACTTTTCGTTCCAGAGCTACAGCTTTTAAATGTTTGTAGGGCAGGACGTAATGAGGCTCTTTTAGGGTTAATTAACTTTCTGCGTAGATCATTTGGGACCGTTATTTAAAGGAGAGCTGGACGTTGCCTTCATGCTAGATTTGATTTGTTTTACTAGCTTATATATGTGCAGCTAGTTAATTCTTGCCGCTCAGGCAGACACACTTGTCTTTGAAAGAAGTTCCCACAAAGTCAACTGTTGCGACACGCTTGTTGGGGAGACAATACAATGGGTCTATTCTTGTTCCCACCCCCCTCCCCCCTCCTTTTTTTCCACACACAATGGGCACCCCGAACACAGTGGGGACGTGTAGAATACAACTGCAAAGATTTATAACATGGGGATGGGGCAACAGAAAGCTAAAGAAAGGCTTGCCTGAGTAGACGCTGGTGGAGGGTCAATGTTATGGTTAAACACGCAACACGAACATATAATTAACCTTCTTAAAGCAGTTCACGCATGGGCGGGATTCAAAGGTAACGATGTGCCAGGGTCAGAGTTCATACTGGCAAGGTCAGCAGGACCATGGCTTTATCATAGTGACACGGATCATCAAGTTGAATACAGGATTTGCATTCTGAATACCGATGCCATTGTACTGATATGCAGGTTTTAATTCTGGCCGTTCTCTTAGCCTTAGAAATTACCTTCTGAGTTGTGAACCCAGTTCATGATTAGTAGTGTTGTAAGAATTGAGATACACACTCATTAAAAAAAATTGTCTGGCATAGCAGACTACAAATCATTGATTGATTGCGGACTTCTGTGTTGATAATTAGTTCATTAACTAAAAACTTACTACAGCTATAATGCTGTAAAAATACTTCCTATTTCCCTTACCTACTTCTCTTCAGCATCTGCATCAGAAGGCGGTTGGCGCCGTTCTCCAGCATCTAATATAGCCCGACCATAAAAATGGTCTAATGGCTGAACGCGGTTTCTGTGACCTCTCCACGAGTGATCCTTATCCACATGATGGCATTTGTGACATCGGATGTTTATCGATTGTGTGATGTCCTGATGGGGTAAAAACTACTACTACTACTACTACTACTACTACTACTACTACTACTACTACTACTACTACTACTACTACTACTACTACTACTACTACTACTACTACTACTACTACTACTACTACTACTACTACTACTACTACTACTACTACTACTACTACGGCAGTCATTCATTATCACAGCTCGTCAACTGCCCCATCATTTGCATGTAGGATACTATGTGACAGACTCAGCCATAATAAGTGAAGGGAATGTTGTCAGGTCTTCAACAAATTTCAAAAGCCCTTCCTCGTAGTTACGCTAATCTAGTCCCGCTGTGGGATGCCATTTTTTGCTATTTTGAAGTCCCACCCTGGTTTTTGCCGGGGGTCCTAAATATAGCCTGACGGCTAAACGAGGTTTCCGGGACCTGTCCACTGGTAATTCTCATCCGCATGGTGACACTTTGTGTCACCGGGTGTTTATCACTTTGTGTGATGTTTGGTAAGGTACAACTTACCTTACCTATGCCCTTCATCATAATTACGACTCAGAAATCAACCACAGAACTACTGTATCCAACAAAAAAGACAGGTGGCCAGATTTACCTGAATTTCTCGATGCCTCAAATGTATCATGACAACATTGACGATTTGCCGCGTCACACCTCCATTAACAAAAGCGCTCTGGTTGCCCTTGTCCTTCACCACAATCTTAGACACAGCGTGAGTCAGGGCCAGTATAAGGGCTGGGTGGCCGTTGGTGTCGAACAGTGACACCAGGCAGGCTACTAGTCCTGGAAAACTGCCAACTGTAGCCTGGAGCTTCTGGGAAGATTGTGCTAGATTCCCCAGGCTCTCGATGACCGGCACGAGGATGTCTGAGTCACGGGTGGAATGAAGAACCTGAAGTAAAGATACCACTTTTAACGTGTAGAATCATTATCAGATTTGGCCTGTGGTAGAGTAGAGGCAATTCAAACTTGGTTCCTTCTACTGCTCTCTCTCTCTCTCTCTCTCTCTTTCGCTCTCTCTCTCTCTCTCTCTCTCTCTCTCTCGCTTTGTGTCCATGGAGTATATACATATAATCAATTCCACCAAGCAGTCATTTGCCATTGAGTGCAGCTTACCTGATGTCATACTTTTCATTTCGCCTCATTCCCTAATTGATTCTCCGCGTGTGTGTGTGTGTTGTGTGTGTGTGCGTGTGTGTGAGTGTTTTGTAGTTTAAATGGGCCCCTGGATATAGCAGAAGCAATTTGACACTTGGTCTAATTCTTAAATTTTTTTCAGGTTTTTTTTTTCCCTTCCTTATTTTGTTGCCAGTTTAGTATATTTGTAATATTCACTCAATTGTCGACACATCTTTTATTTCAAAATGTTAATTATTCATTGTCTTACCTTCAGGAAATGAGAAATAGCTTGATTTTGAACTAAATTTTCACAGAAATCTGGCACCCTTGACAATTCTCTAAGAATCTGAGTAGAAATCTGTACAACCTGGAGGTTTGTGGACTTCAGAAGAGCCAGAAATGCTGGAATGCCTCCCGAAGTTACAAGTGCTTTCTGAAATGTTTAATGGGATTTCCATCACTTATAAACTAATGATATACCCTTAGGTACCCCCCCCCCTCTCTCTCTCTCTCTCTCTCTCTCTCTCTCTCTCTCTATATATATATATATATATATATATAATATATATATCTCTATCTCTCTCTCTCTCTCTCTCTCTCTCTCTCTCTCTCTCTCTTCTCTCTCTCTACCTATCTATCTATCTCTATCCTCATGTATGGTTGCTTAATGAATAAATGAATCAAGAACTGACATAACTGAACTCGGAACATCGGAACATTCTCAAGCGTGCTCCAGTCGCTACTTCAATTGTCAACGAAGAGTCGACATGCTAATAGTACCAGTTCCGACCTGATTAAAAGTTCGCCTATGTTTTCCCAAACGGTGATACAAATCTTTCTTGTATGCATTCTCTGTCTGTTCCACTGCTCTGCACATTTGATACCAGCGAGCTTTCACCACGTCCGCTTTATCATAAAGTAGCTCACCAACCAGAGGATTGGCAGCAGCTAATCTTTCAGCCTGCTCCTTACCTCGCACCGGGGCCGCGTTAGCGCAGTCGATAGGAGACTTGCTTTCAAATCCAGCTGCGACTCGCTGCAGACCACGGCCGGTGTTCAAAACCGGGCGATTCCGGGTTCACCCAGCCTCTAGGAAATGGGTACCAGAGTTAACACTCTGGGATAAATGTAGGAACTTTGCTGTAGCTACAGAGTTGACATAAATGTAGGAACTTTGCTGTAGCTACAGAGTTGACTTAAATGTAGGAACTTTGCTGTAGCTACAGAGTTAACATAAATGTAGGAACTTTGCTGTAGCTACAGACTTGACTTAAATGTAGGAACTTTGCTGTAGCTACAGAGTTGACTTAAATGTAGGAACTTTGCTGTAATTACGGAGCTACGTGCGAACGGCGACACAGCGGATAATTTCTTATCAGCAGTCAGTACTGGTGGCAGAGCACAATGGTTTATAACCGTGTGCAATGATGCTGGTTCACACCTCCCGTCTTTACCTTTTATATTCCCGACTTTTACCTCGCACACCTGAATTTCCTAGATTGAAAGTCTATGATATGTTCCTGATCTGAGTATGCTTGTTGGTGGATGCTTTCTAGCTGAAACATTCATTCTGCTACTTGTGGGTTTTTTCTTGAGCCATTTTAATTTCATTATTAGTTTGTTTATTTATGCATTATCACACACTGGAGAGACATTCGCAAGAAAACGGGAGAATGAAGTGGTAGGAACCAATTTAAGACTGCAGTGACCAGGTGCTTACCTGAATTTCTGACCTATCAATGAGATTAACAAGAGTTTCCAGCGCTGGGATTTTGACATGATCTTGCACACTGTTTCTGGCTACTTTGATTATGGCAGGTACTCCCCCATTGTTTAAAAATGATATCCATGCCTGGCTGCAATATCATGAAAATAGGCTTTTAAAAAACAATGGGAATCTTGAATCTATACATTCCAGTAAGTGTGTGTCAAAAACCATATGATGTACACATATACACACATAGATATATATTGTAATTGGTCGAAGCAAGCATACGAACTCGGCCATGTTATCTAAAGTAAGTAAAGTAAGCGGCGTCCGTGGCTTAGTGGTTGCGAGTCCGACTCGTGACTCCACAGTACCGCGATCGAAACCCACTGCTGGCTGCGTGGATTTTTATCATGGTATGGGGCGTTGCAGGTCGACCCAGCCTAAAATGGGTACCAGGATGGGCTGTCCTGGGAAAGTAAAGACGGCCGGCGTAATGCTGACCACATTACCCACCCCGTGCCGATTGGTCTGTAAAAATATGGGACGTTCTTCCCATATGCCTGATGCGCCTAAAGGCGTTGAAAGGGATCTTTACTTACTTTCCTTACTTATTTGTTATAAAAAAACCAAATATAATGGTAGTGAAAGCGTTAAAACACTGTTTGAAACTGTGGGTTGTAGTAGTAGTAAATTTTACCCAATTAGGACATCACACAAGCGATAAACACCCGATGACACAAAGTGCTACCATGCGGATAAGGATCACCCGTGGAGAGGTCCCAGAAACCACATTCAGCCATTAGACCATATTTATGACCAAGCTATATTGCGGCCTCTGGCAAGAGCCAGGTTGGGGCTTCAAATAACAAACAAATTGCATCCCACAAAGGGAAAACTACTCATATTTCACGATCTGAAGCCTCTCAAATTCCTAATTATGCTGTCAGTGATAAAATAGACTGGGAATCTATCAGCTTGTTCGATGAGCGATGGTGTGGTGCTTCTACGTAATCACCTCTACGCGAAATAACAAAATATTTTATAAATACACTGTGCATATATGGCCAGCATTTGTTAAGCTATCTATACAAATGTGAAAACAATAATAAAATAACAACCAACTTTAACTCGTCGGATTCCTGAGTCAATGCTTTCAGACATTTCCCAGCGGCTGCTATCTCTTTGTCAACATCAGACCCCAGCATCTGCAGCAAATGCCGCCACACTGGGAGATCTGGCAGGTCTAGAGATATGAAGTATCGAAGGAGAAAGATGAATTCTTTGAGTGCACAGATCTCAATGACTCCATGATTGTGCGAGTTGGTGACATTCACCTAGTAAAGCATATATAATTGAAAGATCACAGAAAAAAAAGTCGGGTTTACATAGCAATGAAATAACAGACACTATGATTGCGTACTGATCATGAAACACATCCCCATCAGATGCCTTACCAACCGACATGACATATTATGCTTTTCCACAACTAGAGATTTTCTTTTCTTCATCTTCTTCTTCTTCTCTTCCCCCTCTTCTTATTTTTCTTCTACATCTTCTTCATATAATCTCTGTAGATTACATCATTTGACGAAGTTTTAAGGTGGAGAAACTTCCGATCCAATATGGCGGAAATGCCGTCCGACACTTTAAACAGTTATTTGTTTCTAGCCACTGTTTGCTGATGCAGTTTCCTTATTTCTGGAACGGGAGTCCAAAGGTTGCAGCAAATGAGCTGGGTGGCTGGTGTGACAAGGTTCCAGCATTGAGCTGAGTGGCTGGCGCGACAAGGTGCAGCAATGAGCTCAGTGGCTGGTGCGACAAGGTTCCAGCAATAAGCTGAGTGGCTGGTGCGATAAGGTTCCAGCAATGAGCTGAGTGGCTTGTGCGATAAGGTTCCAGCAATGAGCTGAGTGGCTGGTGCGACAAGGTGCAGCAATGAGCTGAGTGGCTGGTGCGACAAGGTGCAGCAAATGAGCTGAGTGGCTGGTGCGACAAGGTTCCAGCAATAAGCTGAGTGGCTGGTGCGATAAGGTTCCAGCAATGAGCTGAGTGGCTGGTGCGACAAGGTGCAGCAAATGAGCTGAGTGGCTGGTGCGACAAAGGGCAGCAAGGTTTCCTTTTATTCCAACCAAAAGTGATATCTCGTAATAAATAAAGCTATAGTTCAGAAGAAAAAAAAAAAACATCGACATTCTACACGAGTTAAACATCAAGGAGAACTGGCTCATAAACAGCGGCCTGTCCCGAATGTTGAAGTATTTTGGCCACATCAAGCGTCATGGCGGCTTGGAAAAGACGGTGATGGAAGGTGCGGTTTGTGGAAGACGAGGCAGGGGTCGACCACCGCGAAGATGGATACAAGACATTGAAGATGCATTGTCATTTAAATAACAGGGACTGGAGAGCTGGCTAGAGAAGGGGATACTTTCATGCATGCCGTAGGGAGAGCGACGTTCTGTAAAGGACTTGCTGACTGATGATAGTGCAGAGATGTCCCCATGGAAAAGATACAAAGCTGTCGAAAACAATCTGGTGTCATCTATCACTTCTTCTACGAGTCTCTGATGAATAATGAGACATGTTGTTGCCTCAGCAGAGGAGAAGCTCTATGGAGACACAACAGTCTTAAAATTTGACTGCTGCGGTCTTCAAATTGGGCACATTAATAGTAGAGGATAACCGTATGGGTTCCGGGGATCCATTTTGTGGAAAACAAAAATAGAACCACTGGCTCACCAGCAAGCTTGTGGTAGGAGTCGACCACGCCCATCTTGAACTATTTATATAAATAGAGTCGGTCGTGAAGTCGACTAACTGGGGGTATCCTTTGAAGTCGGAGTACATATGTCTTGAAAGGCAAGGAACCAAGGATCTGCATACACGTAAGCTAGATCTGTGAAACAGATGTGCACGCAATACACCCAGGTTATGGAACAAGACTAAAGTCCCGGGGTGGACAAATACGAAGAATAAGAAGAAGGGAGAAAGAAAGATAAGATAGAAGAAAAAAAACGGCAACAATACGAAAACAAAGTCATGGAAGAAGAAGATGAAGAAAAAGAGAAGGAAAGTAGGAGGATAGGCAAGAAAAAGAAGAGAAGAGGAAGAAATACAAAGATGATGCTGATGATGATAATTACAAGAAGCGAACACAATGCCATGATGATACCTACTTTGGCACCCAGGTGAATGAGGCAGCTGACCGCCTCCTTTTGGCCTCTGCTGACGGCCACTAGGAGTGGCGTCTGCCGAAGATGATCAGCCGTCTCCTGCTCCAACAGGCTCCTGTCGTTCTCCACAAACTTTTCTATCGACTTGGTGTATCCCATAGCTGCACAGGTATGAACATCACTCCATCCGGTTTCATTCATATCACCCATAATGGGAAGGATGGAAAGTGATATTCTGATCAGGTGATTAACGTACTCGATTCTCACCTACAACCCATTCTACCGTATTGTTAGCACATTCTACCATATTATTCTTATGCTAACTGGCTTTAGCAAGTAAAAATGTGTGTAAGGAGTGAGGCTAAACGGGCAGCAGGTAAAACAGGCCTGCGTGCCCAATTCCTAAGCCTTTAAAAATAAAGTTAGTTAGTTTAGTCTCCAATATGGATTTTCTAAAATCATTTCCGTTCATATCGTATACTGGCGACATGATTAATTTTGAGTTATATATCTTCTGACTGAAGTTACTCTATGTGATGTTTACAACTTCCATGAGGTTCTCTGTATTGCTTCTTCTCAATCCACGCTATTCTAAGAACTTTCGAAGAAAAACTCTCAGGACAGACGTCTATTCATTACACAATATAAAGTCTTGTGTGCCAGGTTATATTATGTTGCCTGGTAATACTGACTGTTGATATGTTTGATTTTAGTCAAGGATTACTTTCACTGCTCCAGTTTTCTTTCAGAAATCACACAATGAGAATAACAACACAATGCACGATCCAAATATGTTTACAAAAGAACTACATTTGTAGTTTTATTTTATGGGTACGTTTTCTAACTATTTTAAAAAAGGCCCAGCAGAGGTATACTATGTTCGATTTTCAAACACCTAATTATTTTTAATATGCGCAAAGTATCCACGGGATTCTCCGAGCTGTCCTTCCTTGTCTCATAAAGCTAGACACTCCATCTACTGTCAAGGGATCGCGGGGAACATAACTATATCAGCTACGACTATTGGCACAGTGGTCACATTCGGTTCGGCTAATGACAAAGGCGAACGTCAATATATTTCAGTATAAACCCAAACACACGCGCTGGCTAGTTTCTCAAAACGACGGCCAATGACGGCTAGATTAGATGGCGAACCTCTACACTTTTGTCACTGGCTGTGCCTGCTCCATTAGTCAAAGAATCTCCGTGTGTGCTCCGGCACCCACTAGAAAAAAAAAAGGGGGGGGGGGGTGGTTGACCCACGGTCCCATATCACATTTGACATAAAGGGCAAACAATTATGGGTTTGCCAAAATCGGATGTTTTTGGCCGAAAGGTGCAGATATCAGTCTAGTAGCTAAACCACAAGACAACGTGACAACCATCCTTTTAAGGGCGAATACAAAAGTAGATAATGTAAAATTATGTTTCCATAGTAATGACATACTTTCCCTTATACAAAATCTCTTTATGTGCTTTTTTTTTTTTTCTGCGTATCGGAAATGCTTTAAAAAAAAATCCTTACAGAGCTTCAATCGCTGCAATCAATATGTGAATGCTCGTCGTAGTGTAGGAACATCGATTTATGACGTTAGCGACCCTATCAAAACCTGAACACAAGCGGCCATAAATTGTAAACGCGGCAGAAATGAGTTTATGATGTCAACAAGTGTATAAATTGTGTCAACTATACAACACTAACAACTGCACTTGGTAATGAGAAAATATACATGAGACCAACACCTGTACGTAATGAGTTTTGCCGCGTCAATGGAAGAATTCTGGCAGACACCCAAGAGGTCGGTATTGTCAGTTGCCAGTTTGTTCGGTGGTTCTCAAATTTCTTACTAGCAAAAGCTTGTTTCATCATCATCATAAACCACTTCTATCGTTAAGCGTCGTGGGGAGGAATAATTTGCGATCCAATGCACGTTGGCTGCCACTGGCTATTGTCCTGCCGTGAAGGCGTAGAGTGTCTTTAATGTTGTCGATTCATGTTTCAGCGGCCGTCCTCTTGCTCTTGTAGTTGATCTTCTGAGATGTGCTTGTGATGGTATTTGATCTTGCTGCATTCTAACGAGACGGTCAAACCACTTTATCTGCTGGTTCTCGGTGAATCTAGTACAAGGTGTCGTTCCCACAATTTGCCTGACACTTTCATTATTCACTTTATACACTTGGTTGGTTTCCAAAATGTTTTTAGTGTCGCCAGAAATGATATATGTTTGATTACATATATATGGTCTACTCACCTATTGGCCCACAAGTATGGTTAATATTTCACGGATATCACAGAAATTAGACTAGGAAAAGCTCTTGCACACCGAGGTGATTGCTGAACCTTGAGAAAGAATGGGAAGCTTTACAACACAGTTCTCCCATCGCCCAACCCCATCCCGCCCCTCGAAAGTGGTTCTACAGGGGTCATCACAGGATGACTCTACTTCTGCCTCAAAATGGAAGTTTCAAGCCCAGAAAAGGATTTTGAAAGTCAGTACACAGAAGTTACAAGTCAAAATTCAGTTTAAAAAAAATAATCAAAAAAGACCAAGTAGTTTGCTAAATGGTCTATAACGGTGTCATAGAGGGACATCAATACAAGTGGTGCTTATGTGTATGTTTCTGGGGGGGGGGGGGGGGAGGGGGGTGCATCAATACAAGTGACGCTCATGTGTATGTTTCGGGGGGGGGGGGGGGGGACATCAATACAAGTGATGCTCATGTGTATGTTTCTGGGGGAACATCAATACAAGTGATGCTCATGTGTATGTTTCGGGGGGGGGGGGATCAATACAAGTGACGCTCATGTGTATGTTTCGGGGGGGGGGGGGACATCAATACAAGTGGTGCTCATGTGTATGTTTCAGGGGGGGGGGGGACATCAATACAAGTGATGCTCATGTGTATGTTTCAGGGGGACATCAATACAAGTGATGCTCATGTGTATTTTTCAGGGGGACATCAATACAAGTGATGCTTATGTGTATGTTTCGGGGGGACATCAATACAAAGTGATGCTCATGTGTATGTTTCGGGGGGGGGGGGGGATCAATACAAGTGACGCTCATGTGTATGTTTCGGGGGGGGGGGTCAATACAAGTGATGCTCATGTGTATTTTTCAGGGGGAACATCAATACAAGTAATGCTCATGTGTATGTTTCAGGGGGACATCAATACAAGTGATGCTCATGTGTATTTTTCGGGGGGGGGGGGGGGGGATCAATACAAGTGACGCTCATGTGTATGTTTCGGGGGGGGGGGGGGATCAATACAAGTGATGCTCATGTGTATTTTTCAGGGGGACATCAATACAAGTGATTCTCATGTGTATGTTTCAGGGGGACATCAATACAAGTGATGCTCATGTGTATTTTTCAGGGGGACATCAATACAAGTGATGCTCATGTGTATGTTTCGGGGGGACATCAATACAAGTGATGCTCATGTGTATGTTTCGGGGGGGGGGGGGGATCAATACAAGTGATGCTCATGTGTATTTTTCAGGGGGAACATCAATACAAGTGATGCTCATGTGTATGTTTCAGGGGGACATCAATACAAGTGATGCTCATGTGTATTTTTCAGGGGGACATCAATACAAGTGATGCTCATGTGTATGTTTCGGGGGGACATCAATACAAGTGATGCTCATGTGTATGTTTCGAGGGGGGACATCAATACAAGTGATGCTCATGTGTATGTTTCGAGGGGGGACATCAATACAAGTGATGCTCATGTGTATGTTTCAGGGGGAACATCAATACAAGTAATGCTCATGTGTATGTTTCAGGGGGACATCAATACAAGTAATGCTCATGTTTATGTTTCAGGGGGACATCAATACAAGTGATGCTCATGTGTATGTTTCGGGGGGACATCAATACAAGTGATGCTCATGTGTATGTTTCGGGGGGACATCAATACAAGTAATGCTCATGTGTATGTTTCAGGGGGACATCAATACAAGTAATGCTCATGTTTATGTTTCGGGGGGGGGGGGGGGACATCAATACAAGTAATGCTCATGTTTATGTTTCGGGGGGGGGGGGGAGGAATCAATACAAGTGATGCTCATGTGTATGTTTCGGGCGGGCGGGGGGGGGGGGGGGGGGGGTAGACATCAATACAAGTGATGCTCATGTGTATGTTTCAGGGAGACATCAATACAAGTAATGCTCATGTGTATGTTTCGGGCGGGGCGGGGGGGGGGAGACATCAATACAAGTGATGCTCATGTGTATGTTTCGGGCGGGGCGGGGGGGAGACATCAATACAAGTGATGCTCATGTGTATGTTTCGGGGGGGGGGGGGCATCAATACAAGTAATGCTCATGTTTATGTTTCGGGGGGGGGGGGAGACATCATTACAAGTGATGCTCATGTGTATGTTTCGGGGGGAGGGGGGACATCAATACAAGTGATGCTCATGTGTATGTTTCAGGGGGACATCAATACAAGTGATGCTCATGTGTATGTTTCGGGGGGACATCAATACAAGTGATGCTCATGTGTATGTTTCGGGGGGGGGGGCATCAATACAAGTGGTGCTCGTGTGTATGTTTCGGGGGGGGGGGGGGGCATCAATACAAGTGATGCTCATGTGTATGTTTCAGGAGGACATCAATACCAGTGATGCTCATGCGTATGTTTGTTTTGGAGGGGGGGGTGCATCAATATAAGTGATACTCATAAGTATGTTTCGGGGGGACATCGAAACAAGTGATGCTCATGTGTATGTTTTGGGTGGGGGAGGGTATCAATACAAGTGATGCTCATATGTATGTTTCTGGCGGGGGAGGGGGGGGTATCAATACAAGTGATGCTTATGTGTATGTTTCGGGGGGGGGGGGGGGCATCAATACAAGTGATGCTCATGTGTATGTTTCGGGGGGGGGGGCATCAATACAAGTGATGCTCATGTGTATGTTTCGGGGGGGGAGGGGGGGCATCAATACAAGTGGTGCTCATGTGTATGTTTCGGGGGGGGGGGGGGCATCAATACAAGTGGTTGCTCGTGTGTATGTTTCGGGGGGGGGGGGGGCATCAATACAAGTGATGCTCATGTGTATGTTTCAGGAGGACATCAATACCAGTGATGCTCATGCGTATGTTTTGGAGGAAGGGGGTGCATCAATATAAGTGATACTCATAAGTATGTTTCGGGGGACATCGAAACAAGTGATGCTCATGTGTATGTTTTGGGTGGGGG